CACACACACACACACACACACACACACACACACACACACACACACTTACCCCGCCTCCTTCGCACGAGGAAGACAATGAGCCAGATGAGGAGCGCGATGATTAGGATCAGCAGCAAACAGCCAATCACAATCCCCACCACTTCCCCTACATTCAGACATGTGGCTGCAATAGAAAGAATGGTGTCGAAGGGAGAGGATTAATAAAGATAATGAGTCTGGAGCCCAGACAGACAAGAGGATGAAAAGAGAGGAGGGGAAAATTCTTAAAACAAATAATGAAGAAATGGCAGCGAGAGAGACAAAGAAGTGAAAATAAACGGAGGAGAGCGTGAGTGTGAAAGTCACTGAATTACTTTGACCACATTATCACCAGATCAATCTCCAGGATACTTCCTGTCTCTCTCTCCTGTCGTGAAGACAGATACGGGAACAGAGTCCAAAACCAACCGTCATTATCATCAGTCACAGAGAGGTCAGCGTGCACCATAACTCACCTACGATTGCCAAGTCTGTCCCTTGCTCCGACGTGCCACCGGTGAGGCCGTTTCTGGCCGTGCACACGTAGCGTCCGCTCTCATCCGTCGAGAAAGTCTGAAGGCTGAGCACCCCGCTGTCCGGCTGGCCGGCGGCAACCGCCTGCCCGTCACGTTGCCATGAGAAGAGGGCAGGGGGCAGAGAGTCAGACAAGCAGGTGAGACGCACAATCTGTCCCGCCAACACATCCCCTCCACCGACACACTCTTTTGGGGAGACCTTGGTCAGCACTGGGGTGTCAGGGCCATCTGTTATGTTGTGGAGGACATCGTTATCAGCATCAAAAACGTTTGGTTCAAAAGTACAAGCAGGAAAATCTGTGTTCCGAAAAACAAAGCTAACTCGACGATATATTCTGCTTCAGGGTTTATCATTTTGTCAATTATGGGTTTAAGTCACCTCGTCTGGGTAAAGTATTTTGATGAGGCCTCCTGGATCCGGTCAGCGTGTTACTGAGCTAATGAAGATGCTGTGCACTTTCTTGTTGGATTTGAAAAGCTAAAATCCCAATGGCTGCCCCCTCTTGAATACACATGTGGCTCAACAAGTCATATTTACAGTGGAGACACACCCAGATACATTACTGCAGCCTGCTGTTCAACTCGTTTCTGTAACATTATTTGTATTTCAAGCTATATGAGGCAATGAAAAGAGTTTTACAAAAAAGGGAATGACTTGACATTTTGGGAATTATGCAACTTGAAGGTTTTACATTTCAGTTTTTGTTCAGATAAAACAAATGAGAATTAACATGATAAATAATGAGCTTTGGAGGCGTCGACGGGCAGATTTAGTTATCTTTGGACAGAGTCAGGTTTCTGCCTGCTTCCGGTCTTCATGCTAAGCTAACCTAATTGGCTGCTGGTTCCAGCTTCATATATAGCGGACAAAAATGAGAGTGGTATGCATCTTCTGGTCCAACTCTTTCCAAGAAACCGAATGAGCGCATTTTTCCAAAAATCAGAAGAAAAAAAAATTGTCAACACCAATTCTGATATACAATAAATAGTTCATGTAATTCATCTTGCAAAAGGCCAAATATTTGCAGATTCTTGCTTCTCAAATGCGAGGATGCAGCTTTTTTTGCATTTCACATTGTTGTTAATCATCTTTAAACGCAACACCTTCACTTCTTCTGTCACTATTCTCTCATAATTCATAGACCAGAGCATTTAAGAAATTATTTAGATAAAGCACTGCCCTGATTTATCATCTATTTTACCCTAGATGGGACCATCATTTTCTAAATGAACATCATGCTGCATTGAAGAAGACTTGAAACTAGCTATTGAGACCATAAACTCATGTTTACAATGTTTAATGAGGTAATAAATTAAGCAATAAGTAGGGACATTTTCTCATAGACTTTAAACAATCAGACTTCTCTTTGCAACCAGAGGAGTCGCTCCCTGATGGCCATTAGCAAGAATCCAAGTTTAAGGCACTTCCTTATTGGCTTCACTTTTCAAACCCGGGGCTTGCTGCCTGGGAGCCACTTAGGTATGCTGTTGGGGTGATTGGGTGTGTTGGAATATTAGTGTGAGACTGTCACTTCAGAATTTTATGCCGTGATCAAGACAAAGCTGGAAGCAGCACAACAAGCTTATGGAAGAACGTCCTATGCAATCCAGGACACTGTGAGCAGTGCAATGTAGATGGAGTAGATAAGCTACTGTTGTTTGCAGTGGCTACAGCAGATTAGCTGCCACTTGTCTCGATCGGTGCAAACTCACAGTAAACAGTGAGGCTCTTTGTGGCAGTTTGGGCGCTGACAAGGTTGCTGGCGGTACACGTGTACTCCCCGGCATCCCCCCGCCTGGCTGGGTTGATGACCAGAGAGCCAGCTGAGATGGTGATCCTGGCGTCGGCGAGGATGGCTACGCCTCCTTTGCCCCACTGGACCGTAACATCCGTCCCACCATTCCACGTACAGCTCAGAGACACATTTCTCATCTCTACCGCCACTGAGGGGACCGACAGACTGACCCCAGCCACTGTATCTACAGGGAGAATAAAAGAAGGTTTTACCAAAGAGCTGCAAAAGCAGAATTGCCCAGATAAGGTTTTCTAAAAAGGGCACCATTACTGTAGGTACAGAGACATGAGAGTATGAGAGAGCTCATTCCAAAAGTTGGAGTGACAGAACAATAGAGGGCAGCTTTATGTTTCTGTTGAGGATAATTTGTTGTAATCAAAGAAAGTGAGAGCTGAGGAGGGACAGGATTCAGATAGAGGCACAGATGGCGCATAAGGGGGCAGACGGTGCGAGTGGTAGCCGAGATGCCTCTTGGCGGGCAGCCTAAGTTAAATAATTAGAGAGGGAGAAGAGGGGGGCGTGCAGACGTGGAAAGCTGTGACTAAGAGAGAACCGCAGCAGCAACAGCAAAAAACACCCGAGCAGCTACCAAATAGCTCTAATCATTTGCATTTTTGCTAACTTTCTGCCTGTGACTCAGCAGAAGCATTTTATATTTTAGGATTATTTCACTCATACAAATTACGAGTGAGTAGGTGGTTGGGAGTCGTGCTCAAGGACGCGAATGTGCCGTGACATCAACTAGCTGCTGTGAGTTTGGGGGATGTGACCTTTCAGCAATTACAGACGAGTGTTTCTAACAATTTAGTCACTCTGACACCCTACGAGCGCTGGTGGTAAGAGGAATGAGAAGGACTGACGTCATCCCTCCAGTGTGGGCTGATGACTGAAAGTAAAAAGAGAATATTCAGGCTTCATTACTGTACTGAATGTAAATGAATGCAAATACTACTACTGTATGTAAATGTAACGCCACATATTTAGACAGCTACAATATCAAACATCTAAGAGCATGAGCGCTGCATATCAAATGGATTTTATTAGCATAAAGCCCTGGGCCACTAGCTTCATCCCCTCTTTCATTAATTTTACCTCGCCTTCTATGGGTCACTAATTTCATTATACCTCCCAGACTAATTCTCTTACTCCCCAAATCCTCCCTCTTCTCTCTTTACTCCCTTCTGTTCCTCCTTAACATTATCGCTTCCCTCGAAACCATCCTCTACCACACACTTCACCCCGCCCGCCCACCTTTCCCTTTGCTTCTTCTTCTCCTCTCTTAAATTCAGTCACAGGCACACTTCTTAATCTCTTACCAAACACCCTCAGCTGTATTGATCTGGAGTTAGGGGCTGTTGTACCGGTGGGGATCACCTCCACCGTGAAGATCCCCGAATCTCGGAGCTGGGCGCCTAGGATTCGGAGCTGGGTGGCAGTGATGGTGGTCCTGCCCGTGAACTGGGTCCCTGAGTTAATCGATGAGGATGTGTCGGACCACAGACCCACAGTGATTCCTCCTTGGTACTGCCATGTCATGGTAAAAACCGGGGCATCTATCACCACCGTGAACACGATCTCAGCACCGGTTCGAACCAGCACCGGGTCGGTCTGGAACTGGATCTGTACCTGGTTCTGAGCCAGCACATTGGCAGAGAGGAGGACTAGAAAGAAAATAAAAGTAGAGAGAACCAGTGGTGGAATGTGCATTTACTCAAGTACTATATGTAATTTGGAGCTACTTGTACTTCACTTTAGTATTTCCATTTCATCATATTTTATATCATAGAGATCAAGAAGATGACCGCTCCCCAAAAGTGAAGTCAAAACATATTCATCGCCCCCCTGGTGGCTGTTTGCAGTACAAGCCTCCATTAGCGGATGGGATAATGAGGCAAACACAAAAAAGTACACATCAAATACATTTTTTCCAAAATATTTTGGATTCACTTCTGTACAGTGGGAGGAAGTGTCATCACTCTATTCTGCCTCGCAGATCTCACACCGTGTTTTTTGGATTGTAAGTGATCCCAAGCTAAACATCTATTTTGTGTTTTTGTTGGGCTGACTTAAACTAAGCCGTGTCAAAATCACATTTGCTGTGTCTCTCCTCAAGAATCAGCGGTGCATAGGGAATTTTTCAAAAACAGTGTTGTAAAGAACCAAAGGTTTTACAGGCATTGAAGTATTGTATGCTGTTTGTAGTCTGTGTGTGAGTGAAGATGGGAAGAAAATCAGTGTTTTTGTACTCAATGTAGTTTTGCTGGCACAAAAAGCTACCACGCAGGAACGCTCTGGCCAATGAATTGTAGTGAAGCAAATCAATATGGTCCCGATCAGTCTCACTGGACGGCCTTCTGACGGTTTTCACAGGGGAGCAGAGTATACAAGGACCGGCCAACAGCGAGATGGATTGCGTTCAGGTTCCCCACACAGAGTTATTAAAGACATCAGAAGTGTTTTGGTGCCAGATTATAAATATCACCGGCCTTGTTGCTTTATCAGTAGAGACAGAAAGATAAAGAGACATGAGTCAGACGGGAGGCACCTCCAATGAGTGACAGTGTTGTGGTGCTGTTGGATTGTTTTTGCAAGAGCAATTCAAAGAAGTTGCAAGTATGACTGCAAGAGTGAACATTAATTAAAGAACTATGGAATTGCTTTAGTTGCAGATATGTACCTTGAATGAACAATGGCAGAGCCCAGCAGCCATGTCAACAACTGTGTTGAACTGATGATAAACCACAGAGATTAACTACATTAATCCCAAACTAACTGCTGGTTCTGAAAATGTAAAATAAATCCCTTCTTATGCACCAAAACACGTTTACCCCGGGCATTCAGAATAGAAAAGGCAAAAAAAAAAAAAGCTTTTATGGACTGTGTAGGTTGAATTTCAATTTTGATTCGCAGACAGACAGCAGCAAAATGAATATTTAATTATATGAAAAGGTTGCTGATCATTACTTTAATTATTATGGTTCATGCCTGAACAACAGTCCTTAGTTAATCGACAAATTAAAATAGCATTTACATTCCTGGTAATAATTTTCTGTGCTCATCTTGCAGCACAAATAAAGTGGATCATTGTTATGCTTCCAACACTGTATTATACCCGAGTAGGGAGTTACAATCTGTAATCTGGGACGGGAACACCACAATAGATACTCATTTGGTGCACATTATCTTTGCAAACTTACAATGCAGTGCACTTCAAAAAAGGTAAGGCTGGCATCGTTCTATAATTTTGTTATTGTCAACAAATCCCATTAAAAAAAACAAAACCAGCAATGTGTCAATCTGTTTCTCCATGCTTCCGTTTGTAGCGCCAACCCGCTTTGTTCTTACTGAAGTTGCAAACCTCTAAAAAAACGCTCAAATACATTTCTTCGGGGGTAATTTCCAACAGCTGGGCACTGTGGTTTAAACAAACAGGAATAAATGGTGCATCTGTTTAATTTCATCTGCGGAGTAACATTGGGTGCTCGTGTGTTATTTACAGCACATGACAGATTGATTCACAATCAGTGGCTCGCGTGTGTTTTTTTAAATGTTTTTGGACATGGATAAAGATACATCAGGCTGTAGACACAGAATCACATGTTAGTATGCGTTTGGTCGTCTTCATGGGATTTGGTGGCAATAATTAAAACATAGATCATCACAGCTTTATTCTTTAAATTGCCCATGTTGTGCGAATGACAAGACCACTCTTCAAATCTATGTGGCCTATTACACTGATTAAACAAATATTTTGAAGCAGTAAAACTTTATGTAATTTTGCTGATTTTCGTTATTTTGTCACAAAGTTGTTTGCAAACTGTGATTGGTGTCATTAGAAGCAGTCTGACTTATGGAGTAAATAATAATAATAATAATAATAGTAATAATAATAATCTTATTACATGCCAAGTCATATTAACCAATAGCCAAGTATCGGTGTTGGACGTTGGCCCATTGTTCATGCATGAGCAACAACTACGTATCATTACGGTCTGTAATCAAAACCTGCAGCACTGCCCATCCCTAACTACAAACTACTAAATGGCATACAAATATGGAAACAATGACCTGCTATACTCACTCTGAATCATCACAACACTTCAGATCTACCAGCTTGGGAGGAGGCCCTGAAGGCATCACGTCACTCAGCAGAAACGGGAATGCAGCCGCGCAGGTTTGCGAGCGGTTAAGACGAGCTTTGTGTTTGAAATGCAATTGTTTTTTTAAGCGTGCTTGGAATTCCCCTCCCCGGCCTGTTTCTTTTTTTCCCCACAGAAGAGACGACTGATACTCTCCTTTTGAGACTTTTGTGACTCTTGTTTGGAGCAGAAGGAGAGGAAAAAAAAAAGCTGTCAGTGAAAGTCGTTTTTACCTGCCAGCGACAGACTGAGAAGCAGCAAAGGTTGTCTCATGTCTTCAGTCAGGCCGGTCTGTAGAGAGATGAGGCTCTTTTAATATGCAAAATAACTTTTGTTTGATATGTTAAGCAGTTCTGTTTGCCTGTACAGATAATTACTGTAATATATGCTATTCAATTTCGATTATACCTGACAAAAACAAACATCAAAACAGTATCTCCTGAGCTGCGATAAGAGGAGTTAGCTGTAGGAAACTTACCAAAGTGTTTTCCCCCTGCCTTCATGTTCATTTTTGTGCTGAAATAATAATCTGTGTGGGGTTGTGCTCTCGAATCTATGAGTCTACTTCCTGTTTCTCCACCATTACCTGCAAAGACGCACCTGTTCTCTTAAAGGGCCCGCAGCCTGCGATAGCGCTGCAGCAGAATCACCAGTGGTGGGAAGTGCTCATGAAGCAATGCACATTTGTGAGATACAACTTTCAAAAGGGAAATATTGTACGTTTTATTCCACTAGATCTATTTTAGAGCTGAAGTTGCAGACTTCATTTCAAGTTAATTTACAGACTTGTGTAACACTTTAAAACATATGATGGACTTAACAAAACGCAATGCATTGTTGTAGAATAAACAGGAAACAACCTCCAGGTTATAAAAAGTGAAGCCAATGCGGAAGTGCCATTAACTTGCATTCTTTCTAATAGCCAGCAGGGGGCGACTCCTTTGGTTGCAAAAAGAAGTCTGGCTGTATAGAAGTCTATGAGAAAATGACTACTTCTCACTCGATTTATTACCTCAGTAAACATTGTGAAAATTAGTTTATGGTCTCAATCGCTATAGTTTCAAGTCTTCTTCATTACAGCATGATGTTCATATTGTGGAATGATAATAATACATGATAAATCAGGGTATGCTTTAGGTTTAGGGCATGGCTACCTTGTAATTGACAGGTCGCTACCCGAGCATTATACAGTCTGTGTTTTTGTCTTCCAACTTTAACCCTTTCACAGTGTTTTTCAGTTCGTGACAGTTAATTGTGACAATTTAAATCGGCTAAAAATGTCTTATCAGCATTCTGTTGTGTTTAGCTCCACCCTCTCGTGTCACTTCTGGTTGAAAAGAAACAAGATGGCATTGTCCAAAGTGCAGGAATGAAGGCTTCAAACCCGACCATATTGATGACAATAAAATAGAGTGCCACACTGATAGTAGTTATGCAAAGACCATATCACTTTTCAGAGAATACAACTATTTTATATAAAGTGGTGATTTTCCTTTTGACTTACAAGTCACTTGAATGTCATTTGTATTTGCTGTGGTTACTATGAAGCGGCATATGAAATGATATGGGGTAATACTATTTTTATACATCCAATTCATTGCTCCATTTACTCCCTTGTGCAATGGTATGGATTAATGATTAATAGTGATGATGTCTGCTGAAGAAAAAGAGGCTAATGCTAGGGGCAAAGTGTTGATATTTTTCAGCTGATGTATTAGTGCCACCCACTGGTTAATTTCAGCAAACAGCACGCCTGTCAACAAAGAACTCAGTGGGAGGCACAGCTGTGATTCCCATGATTATTCATAAACCCTCTGCAAATACAAATGTATTTATAATCATTTTTGAATCACTCGTTGCATCTGTGCCCCAGGATGCGTTTCATGAAGAGAGAAAGTGCAAGATTATGTTTCACTGCTCTAGTTGTGTAAAAGAGGCATATAGCTGACAAAACCATCTCATCCCAAAGTCTATTTAGAAGCTGTTCTGGAGCTTTCAATCATATTACCTAATCCTGTTCGACAGATGTTTTTATTTCTGAGAGTTCATGAAACCAGCTAAGGTATAAATTCAGATTTATAAAAGAATATGAGCATAATTTGAATGTGACTCCACTAGCATCTCAGCATTTATGAAGCAGACTTTGTATTTAAGGGTTTTTCTGCTTAACAATCCCAGTGGAAGAAACATAAAATCATCGGGATTCCCACTTTACAGGCTCGAAGGTGTTTCTCAGTTGCATGTGTGAGACAATTATTGGAAAAAAAGAATAGAGTAATTCATGTATTACTTCCCCTTTACAATCCAAGGCAATGCGTTGTGTCTGCGGGGCAAACAGTGTTCGTGCTGGATAAGAAGCCCGCAGTACAAAGCCTATTTTATAATGACTTCCAACATTGTCACTGGTTTCCCTTCAAAAGAATACCATTGCATTTATCTCGGTTTACAAACAGTGCAACAACAGTGGTGTGAAAATACGAATCGAACGTGCTGTATTGTTGTGCGAGCATGTTTGGACACAGGTCAGAGGAGGACGGGGCAGGTTGGGAATGAGGAAGAGGGGGGCCTGTTACAATGGAAAGTTCACTGATTTGAAGCACAAAGGAGAAAAATGCCATTACTGTAAAGGAAATGGGGGAGTCGGGGAGGGGAGGAAACTGCTTGAAAACAAGGTGACGCCTACGTGACTCACTGACTGGACCCGACAGGCGGAGAAACAGCGGAGCAGAGAGGAGAAGACAGTCCTGCAACATTTCCGCTCCTGTTTTTGAAGTTGTTTTGCAGCAACAGCCGCAGATCTAGAAACTGTCATCTTTAACTAGATTATATCTCACAATGTCATGGCAACTGCTCTGAAGATATTGTTTTATTTTGTGCCATAAATCTACTCGCAGAGTGAATTGCGCTGCACCTTTTAACCTCTGAGAAAGTGAAGTGGAAGAGCTCTGGCTCGACTGTGTTGTTTGTCTCAATTTTGGAGAGGTAGGTGAATCCCACTCTGGGGCCTTTTGATGTGGATGACTTCAAGGTAAACAGCAAGGGGAAATCCAGGTTATATTTAATGCATGCAGGTTAGGGTTGTGTTCCTGCACTGCTGTCACTGCTTCCTCCCTCTGTGTGTGTTTTGCTGTTGAAGCTGTGCTTGAGGGGGCTCATTTCAGTTTTGGCAATAGTCCCGTCCACATTCTGTTCCAAGTTCTGTCTGCAATGCCAGTACTGCTGTTCTCTGGGTACCTCACAAATAAATTAAGGGAAAAAGATTACCCTTAACATTTCAAATTACATTTTCTAACACAGAGAGATATGCTGCTTTAATTGCTTTTTGCTCTCATTTTTAATTTTACATTTTCTCTGGAGGTGATGTTATTCTTGCTGTGGTGGCAACCCATGCTGCAGAGGAAACTGTGTGCTGTCGCTGAGATCATGGACAAATTCCTCTCTCTGTTCTCTGTCTACATCAGCAGGTGTTATGGATCGACAGTATTTCCTGTGCTGGAAAGTTGCCCTGCTGCTTCTCCTGTGTAAGGCTTTTTGTTGGAACCACCGGTTGAATGATTCCTGTTTAAAAACCTGCACGAAACTACAGGAAGAAAAAAAACAACGTATTTTCAGCATTGCATCCTGACATTAGTGCCCACAGCTGCATTATTTACATCTCCTTCATCCTTTGCCTATCAAGTTAAGATGTGTGATTAATACTCCTTGGAGTGAATGCACAGAAGCTTACCAGGTCCACTGCAGTCTCGACACAGATTTTAAGATATTGATGTGGTTTGATGGATATCAAATTAGGCATGGCTGTCATGCGCCATAAATCATCGCTTGACATTCTTTGACAGAAAGCAGCCATACATATTCATAAAGTGTATGCTGGGGACAGAGATGAAGTATTATATCATCGTTTGTTTTATTACCTTCATATTCTGCCCAAGCAGTGAGCCAAAAGGTCAAAAAACGATGAATATGAAATACTTTTGGCTCACACTGTTCATCTGGATAGAAATATGAATTGCATGCACCATTTTGATGCAACAACAATTGGTCTCAATCTCTGTCCTCAGTGCCATGTGGGCTCCAGTGTATGTCGGTGCACATCCTCAACGAGGAGCCTGTGCATGTAATGCCAGACTCCAGCCTGGTTCTGAAAGCCCAGATCGAGCACGGACCCCTGGAAGAGGTCTCCGTGGTAACCTGGGAACGGGAGCCCGAAACTGGAATCGCCCCCGAAAGAGTGACGCTGGCTAGCTGCCCTGGCACAGGCCTCCAGTGTGCTGGTACGAGGCCAAATGTCCAGGTGACCGTGGAGCAGCAGGAGACGACACTTCAGGTGAATGGATACAGCGGAGCGGAAAGCGGCGTGTACGCCGTGACTGTGACGGATCACAGAGGGGCCAAGACCACTGCACACTGCATCGTCAGGAACTATGGTACAGAATGATACTCAGCATATGAGTGTAATCATGGTCAGGTACTTGGTTAACGTTACAGATATTGCTGAAACTATTAGTAGATTCATCAATTAGTCAATTGATGAAAATGAAAAACTATTTTTATGATCGTATACCCTTTTTAAAGAGCAACTTGAGTTGGAGATTTATGCATGCAGTCACTTTATTACACTTTGAATTGATCATGGTCCAACTCTGCAGTGTTCACTACACATAAGTTCCTCTCAGTACTTCTGTCGTCTAGACCCTCTGACGTCTGGTACAACATACCCTGAAGTATGAAGCAACCTCACCTTGAATGCATTTTGTTTCAAGCTAGAAAGGGAGTGTGATGTTGCTCTTTGATTCATACATCAAATGAAACCGACCAACATTTGAAGGTAACGGCTTCTCCAATTAGACGATTTGCAAGTTCTCTCGTTTTAACGGCCTTTGTCGACAAAGCCATCGCACCTCAAGCTCCATTTGGTATAGCGTTCAATTATATTACATTTTCTTTTTCTACATTGGCATAGAAATTGAGGTTCAAAGTTCACTTTTTGACATTTGAAACAACAATCCCTGTTAAATCCCTTTTGGCTTATTTGACAGTTTCTCAGACAAAATAAGTAATTGAAAGACGACAACATGGGCTTTGCATTTGTCCTCATTTTACGATATTTTGTGACTTAATTGAACCGTTGATTAAATGCAAAGAAACTGATAGCTGAATGAATAATGAAAATAATCATTACTTGCAGCCCTTATTATGATGATGATTATGTCCTCCACAATCTATAAGCAAGAAGAAGGTCCTATGGGTAGAAAGGATCAGTGTTAGGGTCGTTAGTGGTGGCCTTATAATTGTTAGAGTAATGACATGAAATTAGAAATATTTTAAATGCTCATCAGCCGACGATGTCCCGGCCTTTATAGTGTTGACTCAAACAATTACCAACTGTATAATGAATGTGTTTTAATTTCACGCCAGCAGCCAGTGTTTCTTTCCGATTGTGGATGTCTCATTTAATAATGAAACACTTGAAATTAAATTTGCCTATAGGCTTTGCTTGCTGGGTTTTCCTTTTGTGTCTGTGCTCTCTAGATGAGTTTGGGTGGCATTGTAGCTTTCTCGTTTTCTGTCAAAGCTTTCATGCTTTTAACTCTCATCCGTCTGCTCTAACAGTATCAATTCATCAGCTCCACTCCACATCTGCTCTCTCAGCTTCCAGGGCTTTCCATCATCCCTTTCTCCGACTTTATGCCGCACTCTCCGGTCTCATTATTGTCCATGAAACTGAGCCGGTTTCTCCTGACGGCATTAAACGTCTCTAATGATTCTTTGTCTGCAACCCTCTTGGACAGCCATGCGTCATTATTCTTCTTTTATAACAGAGTTTTTTACCTCCATCCCTATCACCTCTTTTCATTCTCACCGTCTCTCTTCTGTCTTTACAGAGGCAGTGCACCACGTCTCAGTCAGCGTCAACGTGTCTCACTCCTCGCTGGTTTGTGGCGAGGCCTGGGGGACGGAGCCTCGCTTCAGCTGGTTCCATGAGAGAGTCGCCATCACCAACACTGTGGGGAGAGTCTCCAGAGATGGAACGACATTGTTTGTGACCAAGACTCCTATCTGCGGCCACTTCACCTGCACGGTCAGCAACAAGCTGGGCCACAGCTCTGCCACCTACACTGCAGGTACGAGTTGACACTACATTGTTTGTCTGTTCTTCTACCTTACTTAAAAGGGGACATATGAACAATTTTTTTTTCAGTGCTTGTGCACATACATTTGTTTATCTAGAGTCCCTATCAACCCACAAACTGTGAAATAAGATAACCAGGTCAGTTTTTTGTGGGCTGCCTGGATCCGAAAACATGCGATTTAAAAAGCCATTGAGATTTGGCTCCCCTTCCTAAGTCACATGCAGGATTGTTAAAATATACCGCCCCCCATGTGAGTATCTTCACCCATGGCTTAAGAACTACTTTTGCGAAGCCAATCAGAGCACATGGGGCTTGTTTTTATGAACATTTAAGTAAACATGTTCTATTAGAAACCCAAAATATCTATGAACCTGGAAATAAGCATAATATGTCCCCTTTAAAGCTGCACTCATCAATAGTTTTATATTAACAATGAAAAAAGTGATTAAATATGCTAAGAGAGAGCTCACTTATAGTGGCAAACCTCCAACTCTTCAGTTTCCATTCCATCCCAGCACATTGTTTGGGTTTTACAGCCCACAACTTTACTCTTTTGGTTCACCATCTTTCAGCAAAGACACCATACACCACCTGTCCAACATTAAATGACAGACACACAAAGTATACAGCTGATGAATAGAGTGGAGCATTTAGCAGCTTAAGAGCCAAATATTTCCCTCAGGAGTTGGTTGAGACCAAAACAGAGCTATGAAAAAGGAGTGAATCTTGGATTTACATTTACCAGGTGGCCAAAAACACAACTCCAAATGAATGATATTGTTGCTCTGCGTCTGCTGGACGTGTAAATAGAAAACAGGGTGCCATACCTTTTTTTTTTAGTGTGGTAACGTGTCAATGTTGTGTTTACCACCTGTTGAAAGGCCCCAAAGTACCATATTGAGGTTCTTACTTTACTTCAGTATTTCAGTTTTATGGTACTTCAACACCACAAATCTCCAGAATAAAACATAGTAACTTGTTTAAGCTAGATGACTGGATGAGAAGGTGACTGTGCAAATTTGACATATTTAAAGTCGGCTCACTGCGTTGTGTCATTCAGAAATCAGACTCCTTTAAACCGTCCATCATGAGCCATATCCTCATTGCACTTTGTTCTGTGTATTGTATCACTGGTGGTGTTTCAGAGATAAAGGATTTTCCACAGTGCGATCAATAAATCACTAACGCCACTTCTCCTGCTCCTACCACTGTTGCTAAACAGGCGAAACAAATGCAATTCTTCCTATCTGCCAAGAGGTGTGATGATCCAAAGACAGTCCGGGTATTTTAGGATACCTCCTGTTAGCTGTTGCTGTTCCAGTCAGTTTAGTGGCTTTACAGGCTTGCTGTAGACGACCTTTTTTTGGCCTTTTAGGGCAGCCATGTCAGATGATGGGTTTTTTTCCTCCCCCTCATTGGTTGTGTTTTTCCTGGCTGACAGCACCTTGCGGGACAGAGGGCAGAAAGACAACAGCAGCTGTATTGTGTCCCGTCCTCCTGCTGCTGCTGTTTGGAGGAGTGCTGGCGTTTCTGCTGTGGAGGTACAGTAATGCACACCGACACAGGCAGGCACAGACACAAATCTCATTTCAGGCTATGCTCTGATAATAAAGCCATACGCTGAGAGAAAATAACACACTGGTAGGCGCTGCTTTAAAAAGGACTTTAGTACAAGATGAAAACAGCAATATGCTACACAGCTAGCATCCTAAGTGACACACACGAGGCATGACAGGCCAGACCGTGTCTGCTGACATAACCATTGTCTGTTTACCCGAGCCGGCGTTCGGTTTGTCACCGTTTGATCTGAATGGGAAACGTTTCTTTCTTTACAGGCGACACAGGCACAGTAACAGAGGAGAGAGGCTGCACGAACATTTGGATGACACCATCTAAAAAAAAAAAAAAACCTTAAAAAAAGACCCGAGATACAAAAGAGGAAAAACGGCAAAATGAACTGGATTGTGAGACTGGAACTTCCTGTCCTGTGAGCAGTATGACCTTACACTGCATTGCAACAATGTGGCGAGTGAACTGCGTGCTGGCAAGTGAAAGATATCTGAAAATGGATATTCAGCTTGAAGTGCCAGCAATGTCTTTACACTGCCTCCTGCTGGGCTGCACCTGACACTGTGTATTTGATAAAGTAACCAGGTTTGTAAACTTGAATCAGCTGTACAATGTATTGAAATGTACCTTCTAATGATGCCTTCATAATAAAATCCCTTTACGGTATGTGACGAATCTCAGTGATTTACTCGTTATTTAAATCAATCTAAAAAAAAAAAAAATAGATTTAAAAATTGTTGGAAATGTGTTCCCAATTATCTTTTTTTCTGAACTACGATTAGATGTTGGATTTGTTTGAAGCACTCATCTATTAAACACCCTTTCAACAAAAGGTTGACATTGACAGTTGTGAAACTGCGAAAACAGCATTAGATAGCAAATCCAATGATAGGGAGTCAATTTAGAAAAAGATAAGATGTAGGCAAGAGTAAGTATACAAAAGAATGGAAATATAAAACTGAAATGTGATTATTTCTTGCTATTTGGGTCATTTTTTTTTCCCAGTACTTTTTTGGCGAATCTGTAAAACACATCAAACTTAAATTCTTTATATTGATCAGTTGTTGAATATTGAGTCTTCAACAACAGCTTGGTTCTGCTCAAAATGTTCCAGACTCATTGTGGATTCAACTTCAGCGATTTGTCATCTGGGATGTCTCGTTCATTTATGTTTTGTTAAAGTGTTCTTGGTGCTTATCCAGAAACTGCAAATTGTGTGTGAAAGATAACACTCCGAATAAACTCGTCTAAACTTGGCAGTGTTAACTTTCACAGTGCACCCATCGCGCTACACAAGAAATGAACTCTCTAACCTCCAGCAGTGTTATGGCTGCTGTGTGGACCATGTGGAGGAAACGGGACCGGAGGAGCCGGAGGTGCAGGACACGCTATATTGGGTGTGGGAGGAAAAAGCAATTGAACATCTGCCATGAAAGTATAGGTGGGCCTCAGAGTTTTAGCCAAAGATCGTTTCTGTCTTCTATGATCGCAATTTGAAATATATCAAAGAAAAGACACTCCATTTGTAGCTATAAAAGTCTTCCACATTGCCAGAATGCAAGAATAGCAGAAACCTCTCCCTGAGGCTATATCCCAAGGTGAGAAAGACAATGATGAAATATTGTGAAAACCAGTGATCGGTGTGGAATACAGATCACTCATTACTGAAGACCGCAGTTTAAGTTTATATGCAACTTCTAAATGCACCTATATATGAAACACAGCTTCATGCGAGTCTGTAAAGTTGCAAATGCAAACAATATATAAAACACACTGTGTGCAGAATATCCCTCTAAAGAGCACTTTGACACTATAAGCGTTTAAGAAGGGCAGAACACTTCTCAAGTGGCTTCCTCACCCAGATGTGTGCCAAAGTCCCCCGTCATGATTCCATTAGCACTGCTCCCATTGTATTGTTAGTCTAGCCGGTGGCCCCTGGTATTCTTGAGCCTCCCATCAGACTACAGAAGAGATGGAGGTGCAGAAGAGTCACATCCATCGTGCGGAGCTGAACCTGCAAGCCACGGAGCCTCCTCTGAAACCGACACAAGCCGAATGTACAGAAAGCTCCATTGTTCCATTGGTTTTAGGAGCTCCAACACATCACTGGCCCACTACATTGCAGTTTATTGTGAGTCCAGAGCACCAAATCTGTAGCTGAGAGTAGCAAACAAACTCCTAAATATGGTTATGAATGTTTTTTTAAAGATTTGTTTTAGTCAGAACAAATCGGCTAGGGGCTCAGAGAGTATTGAGGGAACTCATTGTTGTTTTTTGTCTTTTCACGGGCTTTGCTGACAGAAATTTCAAGTCTACAACTGAACTGCTTTTCTCACAAAGATTTTGTCAGTATTTCCCAAAACGTAGCTGAATTATCTTTACTCCATGCCAGACTGGAGTATAGCAGCCTAGACCAGCTGTCTGCAGAGAAAAAAGGTCAAAAATATCATTGCAAGATTTTACTCCACTAAGCCGCTGTCATAACACAAATCTACTAGCAGCTCTGTGAGGCTGTACTAAGTGTCTAGCTCAAAGCACCACTGTGCCTAACAAGAGCATGCCAACATGCTCACAACAACAATACTAACATGTTGAAGTTTAGCAGGCATTGATTGCCATCTAAATTTAGTATTGTAGCAGTTTTTTTTTAACTAATCAAGTACAGCTGAGGCTGATGGGAATGTCATTAATATTTGGTCCTAAACAAGTGTCAGACAAAACTGGAACTCTGACCGGATTATGGCACAAGATTAAAAAAAGTCACGGGAGATTCATCTTCGAGGCAGCATGAATGTCTGTACAAATTTTGACGGCAGATTAATTAATAGTTCAGTCTGCACCAAACAGATGGGCCGCGGCTATAATAATGTGGTATTAGCCAACTGTCTTGGTCTAGAAAAAGACTGGAGTGGGTCCTTTATTCATTTGACAGAACACCTCCATCAAAATGATCTGTAAATGATCTAAACTACAGTCACACTGCCAGACTCTGAGGACTGACAATAACTGAACAATGTCTGGGAAGGACTAACTGTTACAATGGTCCGTCATAAGACACACAGTCCATAAAATAGAAAAGACTGTCTGCTGATCCCTGACAGCTCAATAATATCTTATCACCATCTCTGCTCTCTGCTCACACACACACACACACACACACAATAGCTGATTCATACATCGAGATTCCTGTTTGTGGGGTGCATTGTTCTCTGGGGCTGTAAAGAGCACTGCGCTGATTCACAGCGCATCCATGAGAAACATCAGCGGCCAGTCTTCCCTCCGTTGACCCCCAACTATTCGATGTCTTTGTGCATTCCAGCCATGCAACTCTTATCGCAGCAGCATTTCCTTGCCAGAACTATACATATTCATGTTTATAGAGATATGGAACAAAAAAGGAGAATGGGTGGTCTGGTGTGATTACAGAAAAATGTGACCGGCTGTTATAGAGACTCACAGATGGTGATTTCAGAAACTAAGCATGTCGTTATGAGTTTCTTAGCTCTTTAATAAGCAATAACTCTGCATTTTGGGATTTGCTTTCGTTCCGAGAGTCAGATGAGAAGATCAATACCACTCTCATTACGATAAATAAGATTAGCTTAGCAAAATGGCTGGAAACAGGGGTCAACAGCAACTCTGCACATAACCTCCTGTAAAACCACAACCTTTACTTTATGTTTTCGACACTATGGTTTTGGTACGGATTAAATAAAGAGGATATATTGTATTAATTAGCGGGTGTTAGAAGTGGTTGTAGGCAGATTGTTTTACCTCCGGACAGAGCCAGGCAAGCTGTTTCTCTCTGTTTGCAGTCTTTGTGCTAAGCTAAACTAAGCTAAACTTAGCAGCTGCAAGCGTTGCCAGATGTGTAAAAAAAGGCAATTTTTTAATTGCCATTAGGGAGAGGGTTTTTTATCCATCCATCCATGAGCATATGAGCTCAAATATCACTATAATTAAACATTCAAAATCTTCACTTCACAGAGCTATAATGGAATAATGATTTCAACAGTGAAATAAGGTAAGCTAATTGTCATAGAGTGAAAAGACATTAGATTTTGACGGTAATAAGTTATCAGTCAGTCCAAGTGGGGGTAGATTTATTGGAATGCAGCCTAACTCTGTAGGTCAAAAAAGCAGTAAAAATTGTAACCCACTAAATTACAATAAAATAAAAGACAAAAAGCTGAAATCTTTTCAGCACTGCCAGCTGTTAACTTGACAGATATGAGAGTTGGTAAACATCTCCTCTCAGCAAGAAAGCGAATAAGTGTATTTTCCAAAATGTCAAACTAATCCTTAAGTGATTGTCATTTCGGCAAAAAAATGTTTTTGAAGTTCGCAAAGCTTAAAGTGCATCAAACTGGATCCAAGTTAGATCATCACTTTCCAGAAACCTTTAAAAGTGCCAAATATCAACTCAGCAGACAGTCAATCACAAACTAGGCTTACATACACAAAGATTGCGGTATCAGTAGTTCAATATTTGTTGCCGACTGTGCCCAGCAAACAGTCCTGTGCTTGAATGGCCTTCTGGGTGTCTTTTCCAGGTTGACATCTGTGATAATTCCCCGTGCTACCAAGTCATTTGTCATCTATGGGACAAAGGAGATATTGGTGTGCAGCCTGAGTCAAGTTATTTCCTTCTCTATAACACCCACCCTTCTAACAAAAGCAATGGTGGAGGGTTAGAGGTAAAGTAAAAAACCTCACACACACAGGATACAGCGCTGAAATAAAGACGTCAACATCCTGTGATGTTTGGGAATTGTGCCATGAAGCCGTATATTTTCCATAAGTCTGTCTCTTATCTACATTTCCATACATTCGTCTGTCCTTGTGTGCCCTCTCAAATTGCCCTCATTGTGACAAAGATACGCCCTTTACATCCTACTGCACATATTTTTTGTGAACCCCCACAGAGGACACAGCACCTCAACCCTTCCTTAGCAGACCAGACTTTCTCTTGGTGAAGTGCTCCCACTCCTGGTGAGAGGTGAAACTGCAGGGAGTATTGTTAATTAAGACAGATCTAATATTCAATAAATGATTATCCTCATTCCAAATTGAAGAATCATGACAGGACAGCGCCTCTCAACGCTGAACGTAGACCAGTACTGTGCACGATCTTATGTACAGTCCATGTGCACAAAACTAGAATGAACTGCAAAACAAATTTAGGTTGGAGATAGTTGCTAATATCTTAAGTCAAATGTATTTGTGCTGTGTGTGATGTTATTTTTGTATGATTGACTCATTCTGTTGTATAGCAAATGCAAACTGTTCTCGGGTCTTTTATTCTTGTGAGATAGATCTTTTTCTTCACAAAGCAGTGTTTACTGGGTCCTCTCAGAGCCACGCTCATGATAAAGCCTCTTCACTGAATGTTAAACCCAAGCTCTGGTTTGATTGTGAAGCCACGACCTGTCACTCAGAAATGTGGCTTCCTGCAGCATGTTGAGGAATATGAAAGGCGCTGCACTTTTATTAACTGTGGTTCAGCACACAGCTATATTCTAAAACCGTGCAAGTTGTGGTTTAGCTGGACTAGTGTTCTTTGCTGCAGCTAAGCTTGTCGGATGTTAAGTGACAGAGCAACGGCGCCTATAAGTTTCTCACTTTACACAAAACCCCATATAACAGATATTTTGTGTCCCCGACCAGCCGCTAAGACAGACACAGCCTCAAGCAGGAGGCTCGCACTCCTTTTCCCCAAATTCTTCCTTTTATAGCTACCGGCTCAAGGTGTTTCAGATGCAGCTAATCACCGTTAACTAATCAAGAGAACCTGCAGAGCGACAAGCACGAGAGGAAAAGAACAACAAGAAGGCCATAAATGAACACCAACAAAGGGCACATGTAACAGTGTTTGTATTCATTTAGAATAAAGTTTTCAGTCAAAACTATGAGAAGAGAGATAAAACAATAAATGGAAAGACTGTGTAGCTTCCACCTAATCAGCTGAATGAGAGACACCTGTGCGGTTCAGACAGTTTGGCTGTCAGCCCCGTCTGAACATCCAGTTGCCTTGTTAACTCATTTCTAAAAACGGTAATTCAGAGCTGTATTAAAGCTGACACATATTTGCAGTTGGTATTTATTTTAATTAGAACCATTTATGTCGCTGCTTATGTAATTATGATAAAGTGTTGGCTGCCTGGATTGCTGGTGCATCAATATTTGACTTTGCAGAATTATATATCATGGCAAGGGAGAACAAACATGACAGGTACTACACGGGCTGAAAGCTTCAGAAATGATTGTATTTACATATGTCTTAAAAATAATGACTGTTCTCCCCAAAACAGCAGCAGGGCTTGGCTCTGACTTTTATTTTCCTCATCCTTTGATGCCAGCGGGGAATAAATTCCAGCCTTATGCTGTTTAACAAGACAAACTGTTGTTGAAAAAATAGTTTACTGGTATCTCACTTGATAAATAAAACCCCTAATGTTTAGCAGCGATAGTTTTTGTGAGACTTTTATTCGCTGCTTATCAATAATTTAATATTAACAAGGGGGGAATATTTGTGTTTGTATAGACTAATCCCAATACCCAACTGCAGTCCCCCTCAGGGTTGTGAAGCACTTTAGCATCTTTAAGCTCATTGTTTAGGTTTTACAACCAAACTAAACAGCTTTGGCTCACTGCTCTCACCAGCCTCGGTTCCAGCAGCAGGCATCTGCTTTGAGTGAAAAAGCTCTAAAAAAAACACACTGTATTGGCGTTGCTAGAAGTACGACAATTAACGGATTTGTACGATAATTTGGCCCTCTGTACGATGTAATCACTATGCCAAAAATACAATGATTTTGCGCGTTCTCATTTTAATTCATTTCCGGATCGCAAAATATGCATCCTACATTTGTGTTCACGAGTCTCTTCTCAAGTTACCTCTTTCCAGGCAATCACACTTTGCGTAGACTAAAATGTTGACGAACGTGACTTGCGACTACAGCTGTCGTTGTCTTTCCCGCCGCTCCAAAAAAATATCCCTTCTACACGTCATCTTGCTTAAAAAAAAGATATATTTAGGTGTGTAAAAAAGTGTTTTGAGTTTTGTAAAATTGCATTTGATCTTGTTTTTATTTATTTTATTGGTTTATTTGGTAGAGACAGCACATTAATAAAACATTCCTGTAATTGCGCCAGAGTTAGCCAAGAGGCTAGTTTTCATCTGTAGTCCCTAAAACAGAATATAAGTTTAAAATGACAAAGTTATGCATTATTTACCCTTTACGAAGCATGCAGAAACAATAAAAGAAGAGAGAATATTAATATAAGTAGAAACAAAAATGGACGTGCATTGTTAGACACTAAAACATACATCAGAAGCACAAAACGTAAAAGCATGCAGAGTATGTAAGATACACAAGTCAGTCTGACACAGCTAAACAACAATAAAAGACATGCATGCAGGTAGATGAGGGTCGACTGGCAATTTCAAGACAGACAAGTGACAGCAGACAGACTCACGACAGTAATTTTCCTCAAAATACAAGAATTTTAAGCCTCTGGTATGATAGTTTAACATTTCCTACCTGGCAACAGTGCACTGTATACGCTACACGTCCATCACCAAATGGCAAACAGACAAAGTTAGCAACTTTTTGGTGAATATAGTGGAGGATTTACCTGCTAAAGAGCCCAATAAGTCTGGCTGGAGCAGTCTATGGACATATTGTATTTAATAATGCGGAATGCTGTGTAACCAAATCACAGAGTAGACTAATGTATGAAGTCCTAACGCTAAAAGGAGTTTGAACATTGACTTAAATTCACCAGGTAGCCAGAAACACCAAATGAATGCTAGTGTTGCTCAGTGTCTGTAGGATGTGTAAATAGGCAACAGTTTGCAGTTTTAACAGCGACATTAAGTTTTCTGTTTACAGCTTTTTGTGGCCAAAAATCAGTTAATACTTTCTGAAGTGTTATAATAGTGTTTCTAGGTCGTTAATCTAGATTCAGGGCTCGCGTGTTTGGTGCCAGAGCTGTACCATCGTCACTGATGTGTTTACAGCAAGAAACGGTGGCATTTAAGCCCACAGAGCGACGCCTGTTTGACTAAACAGTGGCTCTGCCTTGTTTAAATGATGTACGAATATTAACACCATCATTTTCTGTCAGTTGGACGTCGCTGGGCGCAGGGGGAGCGAGCCGTTTATGACAGTGAGGAAGTGAACATAATCAGTGTTGAGTCCCAGCCTGCAGAGCATCTGGTTTCTCACAGAGCATCCATCTCTCCGTGTTTTTAATGATAGGAAGTATTGCTGCTCAGCAATGATCATTTGCTGTTGTTTATTATCCTCATTACGCTGTGCTGCACCTTAATGTGTCCCGAGCTCCTTGGAAATGCTCCTAAAGTGTTTCACAAAAGAAACAAAAATATAAAAACTGGTTTAATACATGCTTCAGTTAAGTCAATATGCAATTTTTGACAGAGCAATATTTTTGTATATTCCACAAAAATGTACACGGGACGATAGAAAACACGTGGCAACAGACACTGAACGAACTGGGATTGCTGGATTAAGCAAAAATATTTTTGTTGTCATTTTCTTTTTTGAGGAACACAGTTAGTGCAAAGGAGCTGTGTAATAACTGAGGTCAGAGGTTGTACTCGGTATGTGTTGAAATATATAAATAGAGCATGTGCAGAGGGGTTTTAAAAAATACCAAATACATGTTAAATTTCGATAAAATACAGGTCTGATCCTCGAAGTATGAATTTAAGAATCAGTGTGGTAGTAGATCTGTTTCCATCTTGATGGGAAACCTACCGTGAAATAAGGAAAGGACCAATTTTATTTTTTTCCTGATTTTTCTTGTTTGTTGCACATCTAAAACAAATTTGAAGGATTTTCAATTATTTGAACAACACTATCATTCCATTTTCCTCTTAAGGCTACTTTACACATTCTGTGCTCTCTGCTCAGACTGATGTAGTGTGGAGCTTAGTCAGGAATCTATATTCAATCTGCATGTACTAACAAGAATGCTATACGTTTAATATATTATAAAGAATCGGGTGCAACAAAGAGTCAGGAGGAAAGGGCTTTTTTTAAAACACCAACACAGTCAAAGAGGTCTAATCATGATAAGTGAAAACACCTGTGTATATTCACCATACAGAGGAAGTCCCTCTCGCTCACTACTCCTCAGGCGGGCTCCACTCCCTGCTACCCCACATATCACACCTGTAAACACTTGAGCTCGTTAGTGGAAACTAGCTTTGCAGAGCAGTGTGTCCTGTTCATGAGCAGCTGCTGACTGCTCTCCTCTGATGTGGCCTTCCACTCTTACCTCTGAAATAAAGAGCTGTACATGTGTTTTTTAAACAATATTCTTTTTGAAGTATTCCTATAACACATTTTACTCGCTTTGCAGCAATGCAACAAATATAATGAATGTCTTTATCCAAATTAAAGTCAGCAATCCAGTTAATCTTTCAACCGCCAGCATCTATGCCGCAGTTTCTTCACAAATTACCTTTTCTAATTTATTTTTTTATATCCATGCTAGTCAGTTGATTTGATGGTCGGTCCAGCCAAAAATATATTTAAGGAACTATTTGATGAATTGCCATTAAAGTTCGTACAGACATTCATAGTCTGCAGATGATGAACCCTGATGATTTTGATCTCCTGACCCTTCTTCTAACACCACTATGAGGTCAATTTTACTCTAAATACCTGCTAAACTAATCCCATCAGATGTACATTGTGTTTAGTGCCAAGTAGCTAAATATTTTTATGCTAACACCATAAACTAAGCTGATGAACAAGGTAAGCATTATCGCTCTGTCACAAATCCGTACTTATCCTAAGCAGGTTTTTAGTATGCAATGAGTTCACACTAGAAAACTGACAAAGTAAAGTACACTTAAAAGCAAACAGCATGCATACTAAATACGGTTGTTTTGTAGTCGCACTATTCTCCCACAATGTAATGCACATAATTAATAGAACATGTCTCGGCTGCTATCGATGGTGTTCCTAAATATATGGTCGTGTTCGGTCAGTAAGACAGCCACGGTAAAGCAAAGCATTTTATTGCAAGTATTAGTCAAAGATACACTTCAAACTGAAGCAAAGCAACACTAAAAAGGACGACAACCTATAAGAGAGCGTTACAAAAGAAAGACATTTAAAACCGAGAGGTATAGAGCTGTTGGTACAACAGAGCCTTTGCAACATACAGAGGGACTGAGACATGGATCATCTGGTGGTGAAGGTTCACCGTTATACATCCGTTTGCTGGTGCATCACTCAGATAAGACCGACACTAGAGTGATACTGAATTTGAAAAGAAAACCAAAAAACAATCTGAACAATCAGCAGACACATAAAATGTTTTAAGTCCTTGGCCACTGTCTTCAAAACCATTAAGTGTATACAACGGCACCAGGAGCCTAATCTCTTGTGCAATATTTGGTTCAAAGTCATTATTGGAATGCTAATGGTGTGAAAACAGGTTAACCATCCGATAGCCGTGGGAGGAAACATTACAGTAAACATGGATCAAACCAAAATGATTTGGTTTAAAAAGGAGAGAGGGCTCATTTACTTTGAGACAGGATTGACAATACTCAAAAGCTCCATGTCTCTGATCCTCCAATGGGGTGAGGGGACAACCAACAAAACAAAATAAAAACAACTATCATCAGTTCATCCTTGGTTCATTTTACAGGCACAGGTCTCTGTAATCCAGCAGTCCGGCCCGGGTCAAACTGCATCTGAAAATATTGTTCTTTGGATTTGTGTATGAAAACCAAATTATCAAACGTTTTCATGTCACTCATACTTCTTTTTTTTTTTTACGATGTTATCCTGAGGCAGTAAGCGCTGCTCATCTGGTTCAAACAAATGCCAAGAATAGTTTCCAAATGCTGTTTGACCCCCGGACCTGGTGTCTGTTCTGACATCAGAACAAAGAGGACAGAGCAATCGTGTTCGTACATCAGAGTTCAGTTAAGTTCTGGAGCAATGTTAGTGGTTTACATGAGAAATAAGAAGAGATGAGGATGCTGGTTGGGGAAATCGGGGCAAATCAAGTACGTAGGTTTTGTTTTCTTGGTAGGCCGCTCGACACAGGCATCGCAAAAGTCACATAGAAATCTGACGAGTATTTCAGAACGCACTTAAGGCTGAGGCATGTCTTTTTTTTCTCGTGGAATGAGACCTGTTGCTGCTGTGAAATGTTCTGGCACAAGAAAAAAGGCGCCAATTTAAGAGGAAAGAAGTGACGCCTGTGATAAAATTTTCTTTCCTTCCTTCCTTCCCCAGCGAATTTACATGGCTAACGTACCAATTAGCAGCTTAGGATGGGGGGGGGGGGGAAAATAAAAATCAGCTATTGGACACTCAGGTCAGTGTGATTCAGAAATGGCTCCCTTCATCAGAGATGAGCTGCAACATGTGGGGGTTGGCATTGGGCCGTCTCAGGTGGTACAAGCAGAGTGGAGGGTAAAGAATATCAAGGAAAGGACAAAGGAGAGTCGACCTGTAAATACCACCAGGTCGAATCCACCTCTTCCCTTTCCTCCACCTCGCACCCCCGTCCATATTGTTGTGCTTGCGTGTCTCGGAGAATAAGGCGTCAACATGGAGGGGGAGGGGCTAAAGGCCTCATCCTCCTGGCTCCGCCCCCACCATGCTGCAATATGATGCGGAGACTCCAGCCACTTGAATGCACTCTCAATAAATACACCATAAAATATTCCGCATATATATATATATTTCATATATAAAGTTAAAGACACATTTAAATAGGACAACAAAATAAAACTCGGCTCGAGAACAATTTTTCAAAATCGGATAAGTGTTGAGACAAAACAGAGAATATTTTTTTTTTACAGTTATACTTATTTTGACTCTAAAATAGTTACCGTATAAGAATATCGCAATCAGGCATTACTCAAGCATTATATGTCATAATAAAAGCAATTTACAGTTTTTCTTTCATGTAGTATAACATATGCAGCATACCAAGGTAAGTGAGGTGCAGTGTTTTTTGAGATCTCTTGTAATAGAAACATTTCACCCCCTGGACTGAAAAGGTACCCACAGAACTACAGACCACCCTTGGTTTTTTTTTTTAGTCGACACCCTACCGGCTCAAGACGGGGACACTGCTGGGCACACATTCCCTCCATCAGGGACAAGACACATGGCAGGACATTGCACTAAGATGAAAGAACGCCGTGGGCCGCTACTAGGGCTGGGCATCGGGGCGCCAACTTTAAATACTGACACTGGTTCTGTTAATTTCATCTCCATACCTGCAGTAAAATGACACCTGCATGAAAGCACACTTTACTATGCAACAGACTAAATTGTTCAAGTCATTCTTGACTTTTTCAAGAAGTTTTCTTTCTCACCTATGTCGCTTTTCTAAGTAAAATGCCCTTCAAGAAGAAAACCTTGAATTCTCAGTGCAAGAACATATTGTAAAAAAAACTCTGGACTGCTTGTCCAAGTTTGAGGTGCTTGATGTTGATGCCAAAATCTGGGAGGTGCTGATGTCACGTTTTGACACCCAGCCCTAGCTGAACCAAAAGTGTCGAGTGGTAACCTCCGGAGGGACATCCAACCACTGGAGAGCAGTGCTGACTCCACCGAGCCTCCAACAAAGTCACGAGAGCATGAGGCACACGTTAAATGACCGACCGCTTTGTTTGGGAACAAACGTGTCCCCTTCGACTCGTCGTTGAGGTTCAAATCCTCTCCTCGTCCTCCTCGGGAGGAGGAAGGGGACCGGAGGGACCGCGATTGAAACCGCTTGGCTATGTGTCTGAGTGAAAGTGGCAGTCTCTAAAGTGCTGTGCTATGTTTGTCATTCGTGGGCTGAGCTGTGTCACACCACGCTAGTCGGTTATGACCCCCACCCACCCCACCCCCCCACATTCTACTGTACCAACGACACCATTGGTCCAAGACACTAAATGCACTAGGAAGCGAAAGCTCAACCACAACCATATACTTGGCATATATAAAATTTCTATGTAGGCGTAATGTCTAAATACATGAAACACGAGTTTGCATTGGCATTTCTTAAAAAAACAAACGAGTACAGTGAGTGTGTGTGTGTGTGTGTGTGTGTGTGTGTGTGTGTAAATGCAGCCGTTCCTGCACTGCAATGTGTTCTTGTAAAGGAGATTCTGTTTCTTTGATTTTACATTTCATCTTTCCATTTACAGCACCATCAAGAGGAAAGGCACTTTTCTCACTCCATTGCTACCTTCCACCGCAAAACGAGAGCAACCAAGATCCGGGTTATTGATCGCTTACTCGAAATGGAATACACCTTCACTTCCATTCAAAACCGGAGACATTGACCTTTATTGGAGGCAATTTAGCTATTTTGCTTCATCAGACAATTGTCACTTTGGATAAGACGTTTGATCTTCAGCTTCCATAAAACGACTTCCGTATTGTTTGCAATCCTAACCGAGAGCCAAAGGCCGCAGCTAGCTGTAAGCTGTGTGCTGCCTTTCATTTCAATCAAGTCCAACAAGTCATTTTAATAGAGCCGAAAGGACAAACGAGTCTATTACCCTACTGTGTAACACAGATCGACCAAACAAATAATGTCTTCTTATCCCTCCGAGCGTTCACTTCCACAGGCCCCAAATGGTTTTGCTCATGTCACTTCTCCACTCGCTGATATTTGCAACGCAGAGCTGATGAGATTTCACTTGTAAGCGAGGCAAACACATCTGCTATGTAAACATGTGTTTAACTGCCCTCTAGTTTATACACAGATTGAACACCCATTACCGACAGCAGCGATAGTCAGTTACAAATGGATTTGAATTCCCGTAATTAACTTCATAGACTTGTTCAACTTCCAACATAACAACCCCACGCAAGAAGTTATCGTTGATCCGCTTTGGTTCCGTCTAAAATCACACACACACTTGAATGAATGACAGAAGCCGCTACGTCTTACTGACCGGACACCACAGTTGTCCTTCAAGTCTAATCTTTCTCACACCTCCCAGGGGGATCGGATGGGATTGTTGGGCCGTGGAATGTAGTCCTCTGGCACAAGGGGAGTAAATGCTCGGGAGCAAAAAAGGGGAAAGAGAGCAACAATAAGATTACAGGCTTTGTCACACCACAGATTTACCGGGAGGGTAACTCGTTTGTATTTGTGAGCATGTGAAGTGGCTCGGGTACGGAGAGGAGTCTGAGGAAAGGAACCGAGGTCGCAATCCAACGCAAATCCTCCCAAGGCTTTAACGACAAAAGAATGGAGAACTACTACCCCGTGTTAGGATATGCTTTGATCACACCCTTTCCTTGAAATGGATCAACACTTTCAAAACCACTTCCCCATTCCGTTTCCCTCTCCTGATAGGGAGCAGGCATCAGCACCAGCTGAAGAAAACCCGAGAACATTCGAGAGCAGAAAGTCTGCTCAATACATCAAAGGCTTCTTCTTCTATTCTACCGTTTGCCATCAGAATAGGGATGCAACGTCTTTACAGTACGCACTGCAGTCCAAAAGGCTTTGTGTTTTCTCTCTTGAGATTCTCTCCTCTACAACAACCCTCTGACTGTACGGGCATCTACACTAAATAAAAAGGTTGACAAATAAGCATTCAACATCTTGCAGCTTTTTTTGTTTTGTTCCAAACATCACTAACGTCACTAGTTTCAATAACCCCACCACTGTTCACACAAACTATACGTCATACAGTGACACAGGAACCAGTCAGTCTATTGCAATAATAAACTTTGTTATTATACCTTTTTAACCATTACTTATCATGATACATCGATTACTAAGATTAATAATCAGACTACTTTTTTTTTCTGTTAGCAAAAATAAGTGGTGTGCATTACATCATTTTTAAATGTACAAATATACTTTCGATCTGGCTTTTAAAAAGGCTTTCAGACAATCATGAAGGCTCAAACCCACTGGCCCATGAAAGGCAGTCAGATGCAGCAGGAGCCTACAATATACCTCACTGTCCGTTTGCAGGTTCTCAATGCCGATCATAACTACCGGGGGGAATCCTAAATCTCCCTCAAACCACAGCAGTGGGACTTTCTCCTGTCCTTGTGTGAGTGAGGTTTACCGTATTTCTTTCTACTTCCCTATCCATCTGCTCATCAAGAGTCTCTTAAAGAAGTTCAGATTCTAATTCAGATAACAATAGCACCGCACTCGTGTTCAGTCCCGAAACACAGCTTATTTTAGTGCAGATAACTTTTATACAGGATTCAGACCTAGTCCTGGACTCAGGATCTCTATTGACAGCAACAACTCATTGAAGTAAGCAGCTGATGACGAGGCTGAGTCCACGCCCATGAACCCGGCCTTTTAGGTACAAACGCACTGTAGCAGCTGGATCCATGTCTGGTGAGGAATAAGCAAAAAGACGACTCGGCCTGCTTTGCTTGAACGGCAACGGTGTAGGCAAACACGTAAATATAATGATTTTAGGATGATTTGAATGAGACGTTGAGAAGAGGCATCGGGTGAAAGTTTCTTGCTTCAAACCATCTTATGCTGTCCATTTATTGGAATATGCTTTTTGATTATTTTAACCCACTGAAATAGAATCCCAATAACGAGCTATGCAGCTTTTGACCATTCAACATTTAACTCCCACCAGGCACTTGAATACTACTTCTTTATGGCCTTTACACCCACTGTGTTACTCTGAGGAATTAAGAAAGTATGCCCGTTGATGATAAAGTATTCTCAAACCACTAAGCCGCATTAAAATCCTTCGCTTCAAGTAAAAACATGAAAATCACCAAAACCGCAGTTGCACCGTTTTTTGCCCAACATCAAGAGCAAACTCGTAAAACACGATCGATCGTCTCACGGAGGAGCAATGCATGGAAGTGCCCGAGGAGTAAACTGTTCTCCTGTCGAGGACACTCGCTGTCAAATGAAATGTCTGACTGTTCTTTTGAATCATTCAAGTCCCCTAAAATCCACTTCCCTTCGTTCAACTGATTATTGCACTAGAGGAAACCATCGACGTGATCTCTGTTTACCCACCATCTCAAACTGTGAGGGAAAGAGAGAAATGTGATATAAAGCACTGAGGGAAATGAATACGTGACGACTAAGATTAAAAACATAAGCTTACATGGTTCAAATGATTAAAAAAAAGTCTGAATCATAAAATGTTTCACATAATGTAGAAGAAAAACAACAAACAGAAACAAATAACAGTGTTATACTTTAAATAAAATCCATAGATGGCTGCAATTTTATATATATATATATATATGCGCCAATATAAACTGCCTGTTTATGTGTGACAGCTGACTGCTAAAGATGAATATTAACTGATCTGAAACCTTGTTAAACAATCCGTTGTTGTGACTTTAAAGGGGCATTCATACCTCGTCACCAACAGGTGGCAGTGAGCTCAAAAGAACTTCATACAAGAGACTGGTGCTTTCTCACATAAGTGAAAAGTGACAGACAAGAGGAAAACGGAAAATATAAAAGTGGCAACTGGGAGGACCTCCGGTCCAATGAAACAACTACATAACAAAATTAATCAAACACCAACTCCAGAGTCCGACCCTTCCTTCTCTGATCCCCCGTTTGAAATACTGGGGAGAGTCAACAGAATGTAAAAGTGCTGCTGCTCAAACTGACTTGAGGTACTGTAGATGGCAAAAGGAGCAGAATACTACAAGACTGTGCCAAAGGAAGGGAAAAGTACAAACAAACAAGAAAAACAGCCACTAGGCCACAAGTAAAGGAGACAAACGGGGACGAACAGAGAGGAGGGGCAATGAAAAAGGGGCCTGATAAGGGCGAAAATAAACTAGTTGGCTGGTTAAATATTGCATAATAGTGCTGAGTTTCTCTCTCGTTTGTTTTTTAAAGCAGCGTTTTGCATCCTCAGTCCAGTGTGGGGTTGTCTCCTCCCCTCCCTCCTCTCCTCTGCACAGTGTCGGGTCCGGATTGACTAGGCATGTGGGGGGGACGGGGGGCGGGACTTGCACATATGAGGACTCCTTGACTGACAAGCCAGGTGTGCATGGTCGTGTCTGTGTGTTCATGTGTGTGTAAAGGGTGGCAATGGTTGGGTATGGTTGGTGTCGCTCAGGCGAAGTACATGGTCCTCAGGGTGTCGTGGTGAATCTGAACAGCTTTGGCCAGCGCCTGGGGGTCCCGACCGTTGCTCTGACCGGACACATGGCTGCCCTCGGCGCTGCAGAGCAGAGGACCAGTTATGACAGGTGACAAATAATAATGGGACAAATTTGGCACATTATGCATAATGTAACCGCTTTTCCAAAGAATTACACTTCAGAGTTCAAGACCTTTACAACAAAGGGTCAAAGAAAAGAGGAACCTCTTGTTCATTCTCCACCACTTGCTCTCCCTTTCTGACCTGTCATGTTCTTTGTCCACCAGATGGTAGCGGGCACGGAAGGCCACCAGGTGGGCGTAGTAGGCTGGCGCAGGGATGGAGACTGAGCGGGTACAGCGCACGTAGGTGTGGCACAACTGGTAGGTGAGCAGCTGGAACTCGTCAGCCGTAAAACAATTGTCGTCCCACAGAACATGGTAGTGGGAGGGCCTGCTGGTGCCCTGGCAGAAGGGCATCGACACATTTGTATTATTAGATTCAGATTACAGCTTCGTCGAAGAGACTTCATAAAATCACACAACTACACTGGTTTACATGCACAAAATATTTTGTTTTTTGCAATTATTACAAAAAAGACAAGATCGCTACTTAACAGTTTACATGGCTAATGAAAATGAATATTCTATTAATATTGCTGTTTGCATGCAGCTGTGCATGCTCCGATTAACATGTTGTGTACAACGCACAGAGCTGGCCGTGTTGCAAACTGCGGTAAAAACCTTGTTTGAGACGTCTATTCCGAAAGCGCTCCATGTTGAAGACCACTCCTAAAAGCTAATTAATATCAATATTCATATTTTTAAATCCTGAATAATTGTGGAATATTAGTGTGCATGTAAACGTAGTCACAAAGACAGAAAATGAGGGATAAAATATATCATAAACTAAACCTTTTAATTATTACTTTTTTTTTTTTATTCAAACAAGCGTTCCTATAAGGATATTATTAGCACCAGGGGGGAAGTTAAAAACAAATAGGTTAGAATCTTGTGCCCTATTTCCTGTGGCATAATGATGTGAATTTCAATAAGGGATGGTACTGCAGAAAATAGTTTTTGATTGTTGGCACCACTTTGTCAGCTCCTGGGGATCTATCTTCAAATGATTACAGGAAAGGGAAAAAACAAGGGGTATTTCTTCTTTTAGCTATTTTATTTCTGAATCCTGTTTACCATCTCTTTGCAAGAATGCACAGCTCTGCAAAGGCAAACAGGTGAAGGACAGTGAGATGAAATCCTGCTGAAAGAGGCAGAGAAGACAAGAGGTTGGACTGACCTGTATTCCAGCGTGACTGCAGAGGTAAAAGTCAAACTCGTAGGGATGCGTGATGTCCGTATCCACGGTGGTACCGGCAGGAATGTTTCCACTACGTCCAACCTGACATAAATAATGATCAGTTAGTCCATTAGTTCACCAGGAAAACAAAAACAACTTTAACAGAAAATGGAAGATTCAGGAAAAGAGCAGCAGAAAACAAAGCTTTTAAAGCACTAAATGACAACCGGAGGTAAAAAGTCTAATCACTGAAAAAAATTTGATGGACCGAGTCAGGCGAAGGTTTACCAAATGCTTCCCAATCAACCAATTAAAAGCCTAATGCTCTAGAGAGCCTAATGCTCTGATCTGCTCTGAAAATAAGGTTGTTACTAGCCGAGTCTTACTCTAGGGACCTTGAGTGCCACTCCAGAGCTCTCGGGTTGCATTGGGCCCTAATGCTTTAATCGAATGTAATTACAGGGGTTAGCAGGGTGAACAGTGCAATTGACAACAAAAGGTAATTAAGGAGGCCCATTTCGAGCACTTAACGTGCTGGCACAGAGCATAAAAAAAAAAAAGAAAGAATATGGACTAACACATAACACACTGTGCTGACTTTAATGGGCAACATTGCTGCGTCGTTCTCAAAGAGACTGAAAGTGTCTGTGCGAGCGGTGGGGACTCACTCTCTCGTTGCGGTCGGCACAGAAGAGTCGTGTGTGGTGGCGTTTTTGCACAACTATGTAGGTGATGCCTGGCTGGTACTCCTTCTCCAGGCTGATACAGGCCTCACGGATGGCCAGCAGCTCATAATACAGCACCTAAGGAGGAATGAGGGGAAACAAATGTTAATAAAGAAAAATCTTCATACATTGTACAGTTACAGTATGTATTCCTATGTCCTTATCTATGTGTGTTACTTTAGTTTCATGGTGTCCTATCATATATGAAAGATACCTAATATTATAGATATCATGATAATAAGAGTTACGGAGACAAAGACTACCCAAATTATGACCCTTAAAAACAAAGTAAATTCTGCCAATTGAACAGAATTTTAGGCGGTGACTGCTGTTCAATTCACGCCCCGACTCCACCCAATTGTTTTGTGAAATCAAGAGGGAGCTGACCTGTCTGAACTGGCCTTCTGAAACTCCATCCCTGTAGAAAATGATCCTGGTGGGCTTGTAGCGGGTTGACTTGTAGAACTGGATGAGCAGTTCCCGCACCATGGAGGCCAGGTCCTGTATGACCTCCTGCCTGGGCCTCTGGACTCGCACAGTGGCACAGTACCTGCTGGGGTGGGCGTCCATACTGCCTACCACCTGGAAGAGAGACGGTGTGTCAGATACAGGGGAATCAAACAAGTTAACAAATTCAACCAATAGGTCAGCTGTAAAATGAAGAAGGAACCTACTGCTGCGATTGAAGGCTTCTTCCCATCTCCAGCAGGTGGATGTGTAACATCCGCTCCCAAGAAAATAACTGGCTGCTGAAACACTGATGGTCTATTAATTGAGAGACATAACAAAGACAATAATTACATTGCGTTACATAACAATATACAGACAGTTTGCTTGCATGATATCCTGTTTGTGACTATAATAAGACAAACTTGAGCCCATCTGACACAGTCCAAGCTACAAGCAGCCGTTTAAAAACAGCATCACTATAGCAGAGCACTGCACCTATACAAGGAGAAGAGTAGCATGACTGACCGTTGGTGAGGCACCAGGATGTTGTTGATGCCTCCCAGCTTCACGTTGATCTTGAGGCAGAGGTTGGAGAGGGTCTGAGGGGACGTCTTCACCACGTTCTTCACCTGGACGCACTGCGTGGCCATGCCCAAGAGGGTGTCTCCCACACGCTTTACCTCGGCTATGGGTGGGTACAAAAAGTGAGCATCAAAAAAAGTGAACAGTCCCAGAGTAGTCCTTACCACCAAGCATTTCTCTGGGCTCGAATGTGATATTTATTTTAAAGCAGTTTTCTAACCATAGACAGGAGTCTTTCCCGGCAGGATGACGATGATGAGCTGCAGGCCGGCGTAGGTGTTCTTCAGGTGTCTGAACATGGGCTCCACGCTGTCTGCTCCCTGGGCGTATTTACAGAAACATGGCTGACCCTGAATCGGCATCCCGGCATCCTTTGAGATCTTACGTAGCTGGTCTGTGAAACCCCTAAACGAGGAAGAAGCAGGAGGTGATGGTGAAGAGTCAATAGAATGGTGAAGTCAAATCAAAGCTCAGAACTTGCCCCTCTCGCATGGAAGAAAAAACAAACAGAAATTGAGAAACATCTGGTCAGGGACTACAGATGAAGACTATACTTTTATCTACCAGTTATTTTTCATGTGCACCAGCCTACTATGTAATGGTGAGGCTTTGCACACTGCTGAGATAAGAGATGCTACCCGTCTTTAAGTAATCCTTTGAAACAGACATTCATAATTCATGCCAGATTACAAATTATGGACACAAAATATATAAATAAATTGATCTCTATCATCACAGATCAATGAGACAAATTTAATAGTAATCTAACAAACTACTTTTAAACTTTCATGAATATACGTAAGTGATCACTGCACACACAGTGACAAAAGAATCTCAGAAAATAACTTTGAAGACTTTACAGGAAAAAGAAAACATTTGCATATAACCCTACTTTAGTATTTCTTCCCGACACTGCCTCTGTGTGGCGAAGCAGGCGATGGCCCACATCTTGATCTCCACCCCGGTGTGGAACTGCTTCCCCCTCATGTCCCACACCCCGTGGCTGGGCGTGGCCACCGTGCGGTTCTGAAACAACATTGCAGTCTCACCACATGTACTCATGATTACGTGGGCAGACACTCGCATTCATACAGACCCACGTTTCAACAGGCACACACACACAATTACCTTTTTTTAAATCCACAGAAAACACACGCACTCTACATCCATACCAAAATATATTAACACTCATTTTCATACATCGATTCGCACTTTGAAAAATAAAAGAAACAAGTCAGTCAAAGAAACATGCATTAGCACATTTTGCTCATTAGAGAAACATTTAACTTTCAAAAAAAATTAACAAATATAATTTCATTGCAAATGTACAGTGGTGCGCTATTTGATGCAATATAGTATGTAAGATGCTATTTAGTGTGTTTAACATGCATAAAACAGTGTGCACAATGGTGTCATAGTTCTGACTAATACACAATCCAAATGTATTATAGTACAGTAAAGGTGTGTCACCTCAGAGAAGATGAACAGACAGATGTTAATCCACACTGGGGTTCAGTCTCAGTAAGTTGCTTCTTTATGCAATTTTCAGAAACCTCTAAAACCCACTTCTTTTTGACTTCACCAAAAAAACAAAACAACATTTGGCAAATGCTATACACTTTAATATCCAATCATAATGTGGGCATCTTTTTTATTATTAAAAATAATCCTTGTCACAGAGACAAACCCATCAAATTCATAAAAGGAAATGCCTTTTTTGTTTTTAAGATGGAATCAAAGTTTGCACTACTGAGACTCAACCACAAAAAAGAAGCCAAAAAGACTGACACCATGAAACACAAACAGAAGCCGGTGAGTTAGTTCCCCTTAGAGACGGGGGGGGGGAGAGAGCGTGTCGGACAAACAGAGAGACTGGGCGTGATTTAAAGGAAGAGTACCATAAAGTGCTCTGTGCTCACCCTGCCGCCGTATTGCAGCATGGGGGCGGGTAGCACTCGCCCTGTCACGTGGGCCATCTCGTCGCGCACCTTGAACTGGAACTCCTGCACAAACGGGTCTGCCTCGTAGTTGGCGCTGCGCACCTGCAGAGACGTGGGGAAATTGAACACAGGGTCAGGCCACGGTAGTGAATGACAACACGAGTAAAGACCATTGCAGCACTGAAAGGTTATAATATACAGCCATGTGTCAACTCAAGATCCCTGTACCTGCTCACTCATTGTGGCTTGTTCTGTTTTAAAAGGAATAGTTTCGATTTCTTTAAGAGCAGAAGCTACATTTATAAGAGGCTGAATTTCCAATGTAGATTATGATGACACAGTTGTGAATCCTCTGAAGACAAAGTCTATTATGCTAAGTGCTTGTGTTATTGTTTTAGATGAACCTTAAGCCCATGCTTGTAAACCTAATGACACTGGTCTATGTATGGGTATTAGTTTTCCTTCCCTCTCCTGCAGTGTTTTTGTTTTCATTTCTTTGTAGGATGTTTTATGGATGGGGAAAATGGAATGGTAAATTGGTGACATGCCACAAAATGTCGGGTGCCAGTAATCCTAAAATGACTGCAAGCGTATCTGCTTGTTTTGTCCTTTTCCCATCTCTCCACCTCTGCTATTCCGCCCACACTGCCCTGTCAGTTTCAAGCAACCGTGCATCTAAATGGAAAAACGCCACCACGGTGCCGTCTACAATGATTTCCTGTGAGCAAGTCCGCTCATTTTGCTCCGAGTGAAGAGATAGGGGAACGTGGTTTAATAAGGTAACAGCAGATACGAAGTGTGCACTGCTAATCTGATGGTGGCCAGAGGCAGTGTACAGTCCGTCAATCTTTCCATAAACAATATGCTGCAGACACTGTAGCAGCCTCACGCGCACATTAAAGCCATTACGACTCTGGTATTTTGTTGACCGTAGGTAGGCCTGCCTTGTAATTGCCAAATGCGATGGACAAGCACACAGACATGCCTCTGTTAACAATATAAAATGAGAATCTGGGAGAGGCGATTGCTAAACAGGCGATTTTATATCAAGATGAGCAGCATGGCAACCAAGTGTTGACAAGCGTAGCAACGTGGCAGCTTTCCAGGCAGCGTTTTGTCTTTGGCTGTGTCCACAACCCCCTCCTTTAAAGTTACAGCCCCAACAGAGGCCTGACATTTCAATTCAAAACCTTACAGGGCACTGTAGCAATTAACAAAACGTTAAACGGCAGGTATATGATGCACAAACACGCTTTGTTTTTGTGTTCTGTGACTCATAAAATACAACACATAGGGCTGACAATTTGTACTACTTTTGCAAGTGTCTTAAATGGAATGTTTGACATCTACAGTCTAATCAACAGATATCAATCAATATCAGTTCAGTCTTCAAATGTAGCGCCAGAAGAGATGAGGATCCAGCTCACCAGCCGGCTGATCTCCTCTTGTCTGTCGGGTGCAGAGCGAGCTGTGGCTTTGATCATGGTGGAGGTCTGATTATCTGTCAGCTTCTTGATGCACCGCTGACCTGCTACAATGTTACACACCTGCGAGAGAATAAAAGAGGGAAAAGTTGAATCAATTGAGTTACTATATTTGGCCAGCAAAGGATTGTCTGGGCCAGACTTTATGCAGCTGCCCTGCTTCTTCTTCTTCATCATACAGCTGATACACACCCGGGAGCTGCCCAGTAGACCACACACACTGCAGATTCCATCATATTTGGAGTTATGTTACAGCAACTTGTTCTCTCTCACCTCCAGGGGCAGGTAGGTGTGCTTCTGCTCCTGGCCCACCTGTAGACAGGGTAAATGTGGGTACTTAAGCTGCAGGTTGTACTTCTCCCTGAAGTACTGGGCTACAGTGCGCTCTACAGTCTGACCATTTTCCAACTGTAGCGGGAACCTGCGGAGAAACACACACAAATGATTTGCCTTCGTGAAGGTTAAAATGTTACATTTTTTGGAGAGGTATTATTAAAGCTTTATGATCATAACTGAACATTATAATCTGCATGATGATAGGCTTCATTGCTACTGTTTTAACTAGGTGTGTAATGCAAGTCAACTACTATTTATAAAATCATAGCACGCATTAACAACAATCTATAAGTGTGTGGTCACTACTGTCAAACCTCACAATCACCATCTAAATATCATTCAGTGTCTTTACTCTTAGTATTCTAACATTGACGATATGGACCATCCTGTGTGAGGGAAATATGGCGTATGAATCCATTTAAGGATATCGCACTGCGAGGTATTGTACTCCGCTTGTTAAGAGTCAGGAAACACTGAAGATCAGCAGCCACACACACAACGGCTACTTCATGACTAATGTTGACCGCATGGTTGTAAGATGAGTCAGTTTTCATCTGGTTTGTTTGGTGGTCAATTGGTAATCACATCATCTGTGGTGTGTGCTCCCCGCCCCCATCCCATCCACACACACCGCCCAGAGTCTCCTGTTCCCTCGCCCGCCCCGGTGGCTGACTCACGTTTGATGGCTGGCAGGCCGACGGGTCACGTTGCAGACGCGGTACTTCCTCCGCATGGTTCCACAGTGCGTCACCTCCACCTTCAAACCTGGTGAATAACAGAAGGTGTTGGAGCGGCATTACGAATGTGTCTGTGTGCGTGTGTGAGAATGGCCGCGAGATGTGCTCTCCCTTTCTCTCTGCCCCCCTCACATAATGCATTTTGATTAATTTATTGACTCTTTCTCACACGCAGGCACACTCTACAGATTACACTCCCATTGTCACCTTTGATTTCTTTGGTGAATTTGACCCGGTGCGAGTCTGTGAGAGGCCGAGGCTGCTCGTCTATGTTGTGGATGTCCAGCACTTCACACATGAACTGGATGACTGGCTGAGCCTTGTAGAAGGCGGTGGCAGACACTGCAAGACAAAGCAAGGACAAAAGTCATTTTATACAGAAAATATATATATATATATATATATATATATCCTAACATTTCACTGAACAACAACAACAACTTGTTATCCCACTGGCTGCAGTAACATCATCGTTTTAATTGGATGGTTTGAGAATGTGCCTGAACAGAAATGTGTAACCTTCTTATTTTGTCTGTTAATGGTCACTTAGTCTGTTTAGCATTGTGCAAGACTCAGACTTAGGGGAAATTGAATGGCTGGCCTAACAACTGCTGTAACACTTTTCACCAGTTTATAACTCCTTCAGAAGCTCACATGTTCAAAACAATATCTACTTTGAAATGTTCACACAACAAACTGAAACACAGCTTCGATTAACAAAAGCAATGCATGAATACCAGCGAAAGTGTAACACAGGGATGGACTCTGTCTTTTTGAATGTGACATTATTATGAAGCTCTTATAGAGGAGCAGCCCACCATGCTAAAGAAATGTAGCAGGACCACAGGATGTGCAGTTGATGCAGCACAAAGTCTGCGCGGAGATTCTCTGTGGTCAAACAGTCAGCAGGTTCCTTCTGTTTGGACTGTATTTTCTCGCAATAAATGGAACAACTGAAGCACTGAGGAATAAAAATATGTAACCGCACAGCAAGCCAAAAAAACATCAGAGAGAAATTAAAATCTCTGGGGGGAAAAGGGATATCAAAACACAAAGCAAGATCAAAAGAAATCCAAAAATGGACGGAGAGAGCTGAAGTGAGTGGTGTTGTGGTTGAGGAAGTTGCTGATGAATAATCTGGCTCAGCTGCTGTAGAAATGTAAGAAATCTGGCTCAGCTGTTCAGATGGAAGAAATCTCTCTGAGGGTGTGTTTGATGAAAGCCCTGCTAGCGCACATCCATGAGGCAGATGACTGCATTGCACACGCGCTCTGTTACACTCCAGGTTTGCATCCTTCAGCCTTTCACGTACGGCCGGAAGTGACGTCACTCCTAATTGTCCTCTCCACGCAGTGCGATTGTTTGACAGCGTTTATGCGTCATTCTCGCAAATGTGAAATTGAAAAAGGTCTCGTTTCTCTAACGTTTGCATGTGTGCAAACGTTAACATCAAATGTGCTTTTGATCAGCCGTGATAGCGAACGTGGGAAGCAGTGTTCATGCACATGTATTCAAATGGCTTAATGGTTTGCTTTGTCAGTACACACACACACACAAGAGTAAGAAATGAAATGCTTTGCAAACACTTGGGGTTCTAGTTCGTAGTTGGAGAGACCACACGAGACTTGAGCTGACCAATGGATATCGAAGGGTGAGAGGGCGGGAAAATGAGACAAAGAGAGAATGAGAGGGAAAAGATTCAAATAGAGACAGAGGCTTCAAAGAATTGAAGCAAAACAAAAGGCGTCTCAAGGAAATGCTCCACACAGCTACCCTCCTGACCCAGGCACCACCCACCAGTCTCCCTCACACACACGCACACACACACACACACACACACACACACACAAGCCGCCCCCCATCTCCACAGCAACCGACTAGTCATGTTCCCATCCGACCAAAAGCCCACCTCCCTCCAAGTTCCTCTCGCTCTCTTGTCTGCAGAGACTTGGTCTCCAACAACCTCCTGCAGTGTGCATATGGCAAAAACACATTCTCCATCCCTGACACTATATCTTCCACATATAACAGATTAAAACTGTAGCTCACTATTCCAAGTCACCAAACAAAGTGTGTCTACTGGCAATAGGCCAGTTATAAAGCCAATTGTCGAAAACTGCATCTTGAACTTCCATTCCATTCGTTTCCCAAAAAGTGGTTCTCAGCCAGAAGAAGTGGCTCAATTCTGATAAATCGGTCCACAACTAAATGAAGTGTGATGAGAAGGAGCAATGCCATCACCACGTAAAGCTTTAGTCCTTCAACAGCCTTTACAAGTAATGCAAGCAGCAAGTAGTCTTCAGTTTGATTTGAAAATAACCAAATTAGAAAGATAAATGTGGTAATTCCTCTCTATCAGGGATGCAAACACGTGTACGGGGAAAAACAAGAGAGCAACCCAGAGAGAAGTCTTTGCTGTAAAAGCCCACATTCGGTGGCCTCTGGCACATTCTGATGCCATTATTTCATCATAATACTGATCTTAATTATTGCATATCTTAATACGTCTGGCTGGTATTCCTACCCGATTGTAAACATGTAGTGAATCATTGTAAAGGGTTTTAGCACACAATCTGTAAAAAGCTTTAAATATTTAAAAACGCATCTAATCCTACCTTTGTAATTAAGAATCATGAGACTTTATTTTTTATTTATTGACACTATCGCTGCAAGTTTTATCATGACAAGCCACAATAATGGATGATGTAATGTTTTACTAGAGACATAAATGCACTCTTAATCAACAGACATAAACAAGGATATTTTAAGGAGTGTTTTATTCCCATGTCTTGCTTATGTACTAGTATGAAATTAAATTATCTAAGTGGCTGCCACAGGTGTTTTCCTGTAGTAGCCTATCTAATGAGGATGCCCCCTGTCTGTGCAATCAATGCAATTCATTATGTGTTTCTCATCAATTAATTTAATTTGCAAACATTTGTCAAACACTGACGACAACTCAGCAGGGACACAACCTCTCAGAGTGAGCGGGCAGGACAGATAGAGACGCAGCTCTCCATCGTCATGCTCGCATTGTTTTGAAGCGGAGGCTAGTGGTCCTAAAATGTACACGCAGAGCGAATCACAACTTGTTAATCCGCCGGCCACTCAGCGCTCAGACTGAGCCGCGCAGTGCAGGAAGAGAGCGTTTTGTCACAGACAAACTTCCTAGCATTTGCTGCTGTTTCAGCCACGGTCCATCAAGAAGAATACAGTAAACAACCACGTAACCCATAATGCAGTTCACTCATATGAGCGTGACAGAAATACACTAGAGGCTTCATTAGGGAGATTAGTCCGTCTCCCTTCAGATCCAGGGCACACAAGTCACCCAAATGGCCGTGAAAAAGCCAAAAAGCAAGTTGTTTGCATCCTTAAAAAATGATTGGGTTCCGTGGCAAAGCCCTTTAGTCTCCCCAATGATGAAAAAGCCCTCAGAGTATCCTGCTCCAAATAGCTTTCTAATGAGCGTGATATTGTTAGATTTATGTTAAATACAGCTATTAAATGTCCTCAAACATAACATCACTGAAAGTAAATCAATCATGCACAAATCTCTAAATATAGCATGTATCATGGAGGCTCCATGTCCCTCTCATCCATCCGTTTAATTATTAAAATCTCATTTCCCCTGCGGTGAAAGGGGAGCAGAGAAAACAATTTCTGTGTGACTGAGAAGACATCTTCTTTAAAAAGAAAGATGAATTACATAGAAAGTAGTGTGAACGTTGAACATATTTCAATATTTTTGAAATATGAACAGCTGCATTAGCAAGTAGTCAATAAAAACAGCTTTCGTATTAACAGAGTGTGTGTGTGTGTGTGTGTGTGTGTGTGTGTGTGCGCGCGCGCGCCATAACGAAGCCCTGAAGTGCCGTCAAAACCAGATAAAAGGCAAAGTGGAATTTGGTTCTCACCATCAATGTTGAGCATCATCTTCCACATGGCAGGGCGCACAGATTGATGGAAACCGAACCAAACCTCCCTCCCACCTCCCAGGGGATGGTCATAGCCCTCTGGAGCCGAGAAGAAGGATCGACCCACCGGAGTGTACCTAGAAAAGTAGCAATTAGGAGAAAAAGAACAAAGAGATTAAAGGAATGAAAGATAATGGAAAGGTCAAGACATTCAAGGGACAAGATGAAAATGAGGAGAACATGGGGCAAGTAGGATAGGGCGGATGAAAGGAGACAGGAAATGTAAGATTAGTTCAAACATCCTGAATTGTGAATATTATGTCAATATGCGTTTAAACAGTGTCACTGAAACTACATCAGTGGGGCCACCTCTTATTACTTGGCCCAGGAGACACGTCAATAATCTTATACTGGCTGCATTTTTCCCGGTGAATCGTGGACTGACAATGTCATTGCGATGCTATAACGGGCCCCCGGTGGCTGGGAACAGGGCTAAATGAAAGGTGTGGATATAACCACTTTTTAATAATGCTTTGAAAAGGATTTTCATTAAGGCGCTGGTGATATCGTGTTCCACGGAGCTCTTGCTGGGGCTTAGCGATGTGATATGGAGCAGAAGATGGTATGATGTCAAGTATGGCGCTTCGTGAGAGCCCGTATAAGCCGTGTTTGATTTCCGTTGGGATCAGAGTGCTGATATTGGTGCCACTATGACAAAACACATATATAGCATTTACTATGAGTATCAGAGGGATCATGTTTTACAATGTGTTCTCTACCTTTTGACTTTACGTTTGCTGACTGTAAATGAAGGTAGGGAGATTGGGGAAGGATAGAAGGGATGTTTCCTCGACTTGATTTTAAAGATCATTCTTTAACAATGTCTCCTAATGATACAACTAAATAGTCTATTTAGGCCACCAGCTGTCATTAAAAGAGTGAACCGAGGAAAACCCCAGCAGCTCACTTCATAGAGGGCAGGTGTCGCAGCACCACATCCACTGCGTGCACCGGGTTGGTGCTGATGGGCTTGTCCAGCTCCAGGGGCTCAGGCACGCTGCGGCCAGTCAGCACCTCGTGGAGCATGTGCCAGCTGACCAGGGACACGAACTTGATGGAAACTTTGAAGGGGCGATCTTTCCCTCCCTCGCCGGGTAGAGTGACATCCAGGTCCACCTGAAGGCGAGATGGGACAGAGGAGGTTAGATCGAGGCAGAGTGAAGTGTGGGTTCTTATGATGACGTGTATTTATGTTTGCATGTGTGAGACACTGCGGGTATGTTTTGGTTCAAGTAAATGGCGAGCTGTTGAGAGTGTGTGTCTGTATGCACACTAGATATCACACATGGTTTACATTCAGGCTGTGCTGAAGAGGCATGTTTGTGTGTTTTTATGTCTTTTTTTCCCCACTCACCCCTGCAGGTGCCACAGGTAGTGGGTTGGCTGTGTACAGGCTCCTCTTTCCATCATAGACTGGCCTGCGATCCCCAAAGATGGTCACCTTAAAGTGTTGTACCATTGAGTCGACCACCTCCCTGCACAACACACACACACACACACACAAAGTGAGTTTCGGTCATAAGATCACAGATTCAACACAAACTATCTAATGTATCCATCAACAGACTGTGAAACCCTGCGTATTCACTCACTGCTCTATATTAATATTACTGTATCTGAGAGGTGTAGAAGATTGACAGACGCTATTCAGAGGGTCCAGCCTACCTGTTGACTCGCCGGGGGCACTTGTCAGGCTTGATGTCCACCTCGTAGAGGTAGACGTCCATCTTGGGGATGTCCACCTGGAAGCAGTTGGCCAGCAGCTTGATGGGCTTCCCCATGGTGCCATAGCCGGGCCGCCGAGGCATGGAGAACAGGGACTGGGCCCCAACGGCTCCTGAGGAGGACCAATGAAAGGAAAAGTTAGTGTTGATCTGACTCGGGTCATTCAGATGTGCTAAATATATGCACACAGTGAGAGGGTCAGGTTATATGTAAAGCTCACTAAAACACGTGTATATTACACATAGATCAACGCATTTACTGAACACACACACACACACACACACACACAGCATCTGACTCAGGAGGTACATTGTCAGATGAAGCAGTTTTGAAGGCAATAAAATAAATGTATGATACCATAATGTTTGCAATGAGGCAATATGTCAGTTATGCCTTTCAAATAATACAACAAACACAATCACTGTCACATTTTAAAAAACACCAGGGCTGAATGATGTGACTTCAGACGTCAGAAAGGAAGCAACATCAGCAGCCCTCTGAGGCGACAGATGTGGAAACGACTCACATTTCAGATGATGTAACCTCTAATATTGTGTACGCTATTTTTCTGATATTTCTTTCATGATATTTTTACTATTTTAGGACCAGCAGGCAAAAATCGATGCATAATGATGAACCTGGAAAATACATCGCTACACATTTGCTCTGGTAATACAATAGAGCAAATGAATGAGTATTAACTGTGTAGAGCTACTCACAACAGAACATGTGTTTGACAGTTTAAAAAAATACACACACACTCTCACAAAGTCCGTGAGATGTCTTAGACATGAGTCCCTTTGATCTGGAGACTGAGTTCTGTTCAACTGGATGTGTCTCACTCATGTCCGTGCTATTTCTGGGTCTGCTGAAGCTTGCCTTCTACATCACACATGACAAAACAAATGGCTTCGCTGAAGTGCCAATGATGATTTTATCGTACACGTTGCTTTTGTTATGCAATAGCCATCTTCACACACAAACTCAGATGAGACTTAGCCATTAGCCTGACAAATGTTACTTTGTGTTTGACCCCCCTCCCACACAGCCTTTTTTTCCTCTGTCTCGTTCCGTCTCCACAGCCGTGAGCCTGGCATTCTCTAGTTTTCTTTTTCAAAACACTGCCCCGAATGTGTCATTGATAAATGAGAGTCATGGTTGAGTGTGATTCATCGCCGATTTGACTCACAGGCTCACATGTGTGGGTGATTTTGGGGTTGAGGGCCCTACTGAGGGGGAAGTTCATAAAAACCCGCCCCACAACAGTACAGAAACCTTCTGTAAGGCAACAGCAGACAACATGAGCAACCGTTTGTTTACAGTCAGCCTCTGGAAGTGGGTACTCTCTGCACCGCCTCTCTTTTTTCTGTTCCTCCTCTGGGGTGGACAGAGGATGAAGGCCTGGTGTTTGAAATAGCCTGGTGGGATAAAATGATTAACAGAAGAGCGGAAAGTCTGGAATTCCTGCCGCGGCTGTCCCTCTCACACCAAACTAAGTGCACACAAACTTTTGTCATGGTAATTCCAATGGGGCCCTTGGTGAAACTTGTGAGGTAAGCCTAATTTCTCACACAAACTGACTAGCACAAAGAAGGAAGGCAAATATACTGGTCAATCTCCATTAAGGCTACAGAGATAAACGTGTCTACGACGGACTGTGAGCCGTCTATTTTCAGCCACCAAAGAGCTCAAACTTCAAGAGGGTCCTCTGTTACTCAGAGCACTTTTTTTTTTCCTGGTGGTCCTGGTGGATTGCAGGGAGTGGCAGGAACAGAGAGTGGGCCGGGTTGGTGTTTTCCAGCTTTCATCTGCCTCTGAGAACTGGCTTCCGTTCAGCGTGAGTCACAGAGCCACCAGGGGCGGAGAACATCCTCGTGTGGAGCATCCTTGAGTCTACGCGTCTGGATTCAGTAGTGGAAGAACTACACACACATTTTTAAGTTTTGGTTTTTCATCCAGCTGCGCGCACACACACAAACAGACTCTGCCAGTTGGTTTAGTTTCAGTATAAATCAAACACACAGAGGCGTACAGAAATTTGTTTTTGCTTGATTACGCCCTAATAAAACAGATGCAAACTGCTACTATTTTTCACATTCATAGAGACAAATTATTCCTGACACAGCGCAATCTCCCAAGGCCGAACCTCCAAAAGAGTGCCCGATTGCACAGACTAACCTACCACACGGACTACCTTATCACACGGACTAACCAGTGAACACAAATGGGACCTTACCATGTCACGCACGTGGCAAGCAACATGCCGCGATATAGAAAATCAACTGGGCATGCCACATGGATGTGTTTCTGCAGCGTTTCATGGATAACCAATCGGATCCTGATCATCAAATCAGTTAGCGCTCTGTTATCTGGCCTTCTTGGAGAACTGTGTGTCTCATGCTCCACAGACAGACATAACAAAAGAGGGGGGGTGGGTTTAACTGGGAGAGCACAGTACTTCAGTCTAAAGCTTCTACAGCTTTAACTTGAGGTCTGTCCAACAGTTATCTACTGCCACCAGCAATAAAAGTTATTAAAAGGCAATTCATAGAGTAAATACTTAACAATAACATTGATTACATATCTCAAACATTCATTTTTTTAATGTGGTCTTTGACATCAAAATGGACATTCTCTGGGCTTGTTCGGTGTGAGAAGCTGCATCACCCCCGACACATAATAAAGAGGATTGCATGAGTTTACAGGAACATCTCATTTCTGCATGTCAGGGATCAGCTGCTGGTAGGTGACGTGTTCTAGTTGGGTATGATAAGTAGTGAAACCACAACCACAAAGCTACACACACATCAAAGGATTATTGGCTCTTTGCACAGTAAGTGTGAGGATTCAAGGAAACCTCTTGTTGAGAGAGAGTGTGTGTGTGTGTGTGTGTGTGTGAGAGAGTGTGTGTGCGTGCATGCATGAGCTATCAGATAATTACAGGAAGGACATGCTTTAACAAACAGAAGAGGGTAGATTCAATTGCTCTCTGTCCATCAGTATGTTCCTCATTTCCTGAGCCTGTAAACTCAGAGGGTGAGAGATGACAGAAGGGCAAACTCTTCTTCACCGTGAATAAAATTAACTCCATTCGTGGACTTCAGTTAAATTGCAAAGATTGATGGTGTGGATGGAACTTGCGTCTCAAGCCTATTGCATCCTGCTGAAAGAGGAGCTTAAGGGTCCTTCCCAAACGTTGGTAGTTAACTTGAATTTATGTCCCATTCACTATACACGGTATCAAAACATCCATAAAAACGCTTCAAACTACTCCTGTGAGTCCTGCGACATAACCCACCTTCCCGCTGACCAACAGCATGTCCAATATGCTCCGGACACTCATATTTTTGCCTTTTCTTTTGCTGAACACACAACCACAATCTGCTGCTTGTGCACTGTGCTGATTTTCTGACAAGCAGCACTTTTCGTTGGCGGATCAGTTTTACACAAGTCAACTGGTTAGGTGAAGAGTTGCTGGAGCCTTCCACGGTTTAAGCAAACCACAAACTTCTAACATAAAGAAATATTTTGTGTGTGCTTTTCTGACTCTTTGGCAGCTTATTAATGCTTAGTATTGGAATGTTCCTGAATTTGTCAAATTGACCCAAGTGCTGCTCTGGTACAATTGTGCATTTAACACCAACACTTACTATTAAGTTTGATTCTCTTCTCTAAGATTTACTCACTTTATTCGTCATATTAGGACCTAAATATCAAATTTCACATGCTAATCTATGGAACGCACTGCCAGTAACATTAACTAAAGTTGTGTTACTGGTTTCTTTGCATCAATGGAGAATGTGTGGCGAGCACAAGGCTTGACTTTAGTTCATTGTAAACAAAGCCCAGTGACACTATTCAGTGAGTTGAGGCACCACAATAGTGCGCATGGAGTAAATAAATATTATACAACACACCAATAAGTGTGCTGCCTTTCTTAGCATACGAGTTCTTTGCAGAAACATTGAAGAAATGTGAACTCGTTCCACTCTGCGGCTTTGCGAAACACAACACAGTCGCCCTGTACCCAGTGGGCCGGGAGCCAGAAACACTGGACAGTGAGGAGCGAGGCTGACATCCAGTGCCTGAGAAGCCTGCTCAGCCACAACCCCCAGGACACAAACGTCCACGATGCTAACGAGTGCACATGTCCTCACATGTACCGGCCCTCACACACACACACACACACACAATACAGCTGTTGTGTTTCTAATCCAGAGAGGCCCTGAGCTGTAGGAACAGGCACAATGGCGTCTAGTCACGGCAGGCAGGGCCGAGGAACACGTGCACAGACGCACACAGAAAGACCGACGGCTGGCGAGGAAGGATGGACGCGCGTCACACGGCTCCTCCCTCCTGTTCCCCTCGACCACCTCAGGAGTGTTTGACCTGGCACCCGTGGGAGTCGATGTCACTCTCTGCCGCAGGTAAACACCAGCAGGCAGCCACATGCTGACAGGCTGACAGGCTGACGAGGGCCTGGTCAATCACAACAACGCGGGGAAATGTTGAAATCACCCTCAGGACGAACCTGAAGCTGAGTGATGGCGTGTGTGAGAGGGAGAGTGTGTGAGTGTGAGAGGGAGAGTGTGTGAGTGGGAGAGTGTGTGTGTGAGTGAAAATGAAGAGGCGGAATGAGAGTACATGACAGAGAGAATGGGTGGGGGGATTTTGAGGGGGTTAAGAATCGACTGTAGTGAGACGCTGGTCTGACTCAGTGATATTAAAGAACGCCCAACAGTCTTACGGGTAGGGGATGGATGGATGGATGGATGGACGCGCGCACACACACACACACACACACACACACACAAAGTACTCGCTCTGTCAAACTGAGCAGGAGATTCTACTCAGGCAGGTTAAATGGAGCCTTCTGCCTCACAGTCTTGCTAGTCCTGCCTGAGTGGAAAAGCGGACATGGGGCCAGGGCTTGTTGACTTTTGATGTTGACTTGGGCGGGAGGACCGCTTCGTCACTCTGAGAGTTTACATGCAGTCTAATAATATAATTACAACCAAAACAAAATAATACTGCTGCAATAAGAATTTATTTGTAGACGTTTTGAGGTCTCTGCTGCCGACACTGCAAGTCCCCACCCTGATAGATAATGGAGGTAACTTATGCTCATGACATTGAGAATGAGCATCAAAACATCTTTCCAGACGCAATGCTCAAGTCTCCGTGGACAGTCGTCACCCCGGGCTGCATACAGTTTTCATCGGGACTATTTTGCACATAAGAAATTGTCCCAAAATTTGTTCATTTGGATTGTTCAGCTGATCTTTCAAAGTTTTTACAGATTGTTTATTATATGCATGTATGAAAAGGCTCTACTATCTGATTGGAGGAGAGACAAACACAGAGCTGTGTGAAGCCACTTCTTCTTTGGCTTAAGTGTTTGGAATAATGACGAGGTATTTTAAATATCTCTCTCTCTGATTCACAGGCAAACTTATGTCTGCCCTTGACAATACGCACAGACTTCCACGTCCAAGTCCCTCTCTTCCTGTCCAGAACCTCCCCCTAAAATGAGCCCCTTGCAGTTCCCCTAAAAAACAGATCTCAGGAGGAGGAGGAGGAAAAGAAGTGTGGTCTGGCTGCACTGGCGTCTAATCTCTGTGACACATCACCACCTCCTCCTCCCCACACACACTGCATCCCTTGACTTTCCCCTCTGTCTACTCAGCCCACTATGTCAGCCAGAGTTAGTCTACCACACCAGCACATGATTAAGAGTTTGTAGGGAACCTGAGAAATTCCTCCGATGTATTCCACACAGGGCCACAGGATTCACAATACAGTAAAATACATCATTTAAAAAAAAAAGGCTTTTAGAAAGCAAATTTGAAACAGGTACTTGTTGGTATTTACTGTGTTCCAACTCCTCTAAAGATGCTGAGGGGAAATTAAACGTGTTCTTCCTATTTAAGGAGCAGAGGTTACCGGCAACCCGTTACTTTACCTTCCCAAAACAGCGATTCTCTTATAAATTAAGAAATATATACGATTAAATACTTGAAAGAACACTGCCTTTTGAATCTCACTGACAGCATCAATTACCTGTATTAAAGTAACCAACATTTACAATCGTAATACAATAAATAAGCTGGATATTTATGATGATTAGTTGGAATGGCATTTCCTTTTCTTCAGTACAATGAATCTCTCTTTAATAGAACGAGCCTGAAGAGCAACGGCAGACTGAATTCTCCATAGAAACCTGCAACAATTATGACAATGGTTCGCCTTATGGCGGGCTGGGGTTGAGGATGGGGGTCATCCATTGTCAGCGGGCTGCTTGAATGAACCGAGTGTTATGGGGAGAGACTGCAAATCAAGTGCCGAGCCCTCCCTCAGAGTGGACCCCACTGTCTGCACAAAACCCACAGAGAACAAGGCGACAAGGAGAATGACAGGGAGGACAGCGTCTCCCACTGAGGCCCAGAGGAGGAAATAAAAGGCAGTAACCAAAGGACGGGAGGCGGGGTGGCGGTAACCGTCTGTGAATCAAAAAAAAAAAAAAAAAAGAGCGGGAAACCCGGGAGTGTGAGAAAGACGAAGGAGGGGGAGGAAGGACATGAGCAAGACATCAGCGGGACAAACAAACAGAAAGTGAGCTAATTTGTGCACTGCTACACTATTCATCTCTCCATTTTAAAAAGGTTGTGTTTAACCACGAGGACTCCACTATCATCACATCAATATCAAGTGACAAGCGGTTTGTAGGCATACCGAAGGGTTAGCACATCAGAACGGATTTGATTTGCTTCGGGCTCGAAAGCCTTGCACTCATTATGTCCCTCGTGCTAAGCTCTCCAGAGCTTCATGCGCTTTTGCTCCGACCACTACCGAGGAGAAGACGGACTGTCGTTTTCTACGCGGGCTGTGCAATTAATTTGCATTTTCTCACGCTACTCCCCAGGCCGCTGGCTGACTGATGGAGGGCCCCCCTTTTAAAACCATTCACCCAGGCATTGGGCTCACTGGTTGGCCTGTGGTGGTTTCTGATATGTGATTGTAAACCAACTCCAACACACACACACACAAACAATATCGCGGCCCTGCAGGGACAAGCCACAGAATTATACAGCCAAACATGACTGACAACCTGACTCTATTAATGCACTAATGTCTTCCGAAGAGAAAGCATCGACCACTCTCTTTAATACATATAATGTAAGACTACAAGAATTGTAATGGCATCAACGCTGATTGAGGATCTCAAGAGTTATGGTGGAAGAAGACACAACTCAAGTAAACATAGAACTATCATAAAACTAAAATACTGTAGCTATAGGAGTAAAATTAAAGTATTTGGTTTAACCTACATCATATTACTGACCAGTTGCAGCCAACAGTGTGTCTGTTTTGCTTCACTGTAGACCTACAGTGAAGCACCTGTGCTTGGTTACTGGGGGGGGGAAAAGCACCTTGTGTTCCCTATATGCTACAGATACTGGGATGTGAACAGTGAGGAGCAGAGACCTTAATGAGACAGTAGGCTGCTGTATCATGTATCACCGGCTGATCAAGAATACCTGGCAGTCAGTCTACGGTCACATAAGAGGAAAGCTTCCGTTACAGCAGACAAAGCCGGGGCGGTTCGGACTGTTAAACTGCCACTGTGGCCCAAGATAGGAGCAGTTTACCGGCCGTGGAGTAGAGGTTTACAATGTTAAAATCACCTGGACTAGACAGGAATCTGCAAGGTTACATGAGGTTCTGCACTATTACCAATAACGCCATGAAATACCGTAATAGTGTGGGAGTCTTCCTGATAATGCAGGGGAATACCAGGCCTAATCACAGCACTTGTGTACTGCAGCCCACACACACCTGCAAATGACTTTACAGTGAGTGAGACAGAAAGCCAACTCATCAGTCCCCCTGGGGAATGACTTATAGATTCATTTAGATATTTTACTTTTGAGTTAACATAAGTTTAAGTCAGTCTTGCAGGACTGTAGTGAGTCACTAAGGTTACTTCAATTGTGACTCATGTTTAGGCAAAATAAAACAGCTTCAAGCTTCCCTCCAGGGCTGTCAAGCACCAGCTGGAAACGAACCTCCATCATGCCGGTGTTTTAATCTCACTACAGCAAAACCAATTTTTCTGTAACAACAACTTAGTGAGGAGACGTTACGGATCAATTTACCTGTAGTTCCGATTTCCATTCATGAGGTCTCTGTCCGGGATCGCTCCCCGGATCACTGCAGTCAAACGATCGGGACTCTTTCCTCCGGTTCAATCCTCCGAGTGTCTCCTTCGGCAGTGCGCCGCTGAATGGCCCGAGTGTCTCCTGGTTCTCTCTGCTAGCTCCTCTCTCTCTCCTGCAGACTGTCACAAAAAAAGGGGGCCCCACAACACTAGCGTCCGCACACGGGTCAACGTGTCCAATAGGGGTTTCACTGCCACGGAGAAAAGCGTACTGGTTTGCTCAAAACCTCCTAGTTAGCCAAGTTAGCTCGCTAGCCTATAGGCTCAGCGAAGTGGCTGTCAGAGTGAGCTGTCAGGACATCATCATAGCGGGGGTCACCGAGTCCAAACGAATCCCCAACCGAAGGATAAACCAGAGACTACACGGATCCGTGTCTACTGCACAGCGAGCATCGGGGCTTCGGTGATGAGCTAAATGGCTATCGCTGGCTGATTGATAGTTGGATAATTCTGGCAGGCGATGGATACTTTGATCGCGTTTAAAAACAGCCGTTGACACGGCCCCGTTTACCCAAGCACCATATCTCACCGGCGGCGTCTTCTGTAGTTTGTATCCCCGGTACCCAGGAAAAAATATGACGCTGTCAACACCGGGCTAGTATCCGCCGGTAAGTGTCCCGGTTTTCTGTCTGGTTTGACAGATCAACTCTGAGGAGCTAAATATGGTGAAGTTGGGTTTCTGACACCGACAGGAGGAGGTGGGCTCTGTGTCGCCAGACGTCAGAAGAACCAACTCCGCCTTCATCCAGATGTAACCCTGTGTTTACAATACTGTGGATACATTAGTGGAGACAACATGTATGTTTTTAATACATCACACTCTATGAATTATTGCATTACTGCTCCCAGTAGACAACGCAACACTAAACATCTGTGCAGTATAAATACACTGTTATTGTGGATTTTTTACTTATTTTACATTGTCTCTTTGCATTATCCACTATGCTGCTGTAATCCTGTACATTTCCCCACTGCTGGGCTAATAAAGGATTATCTTATCTTTGTATTCAAACCGGCAGTTTAGGGCTACATCTCTGTAATGTAAAAATGTGCAAGTTCCATTTTCTGTTCTGACTTGATTACTACTTCTTGAGATGTAGATTTAATTCAAATCCAAGGAAATATAGTATAAAGTTATAAGTAAGAGAAAAAAACAACAGGAGTAATAAAAAACAATTTTATTTTCTTTAAAAAATAACCCGCCCCAACAGAGTTCCCATACTATCACATACAGAGCCAAAATAATATTCATTTTCATTCAAATCTATGTGGGAAGTGCTATGACAAGGACTTGTTCTTGATCAGTGGCTTCAATATTGCTTAGTCAGACAGTGAGGCTGTGTGGAGGGGAGTGGACTCTCCGGTATCCACATGATGCATTTACCAGGGTGACTGCCCTGTTGTCTCCCCCCTTTGCAAGGTGCTTTGTGGCTTCAGTGAGTGAAGAACTGCATCTGAGTTTCAGTGATATTGGGGAAATGCCCCAAGACTGATTTCTCTTTTCTTTTTCTTCTTTAAAGCACAGAACGAGGGGTAAAACACCGGCCCCAACTGTGAAAGGCCTGGCAACTGGTGAGCCAAAATACATAAACGGGTTAATATTATATATTTATATATACAAATCACCTTGGACACAATGACGAATCAGTAAAACGGTGTACAAAGACATTTTGATTATGCACGTTAATAAACATGATTCAAAAAAAATCAAACTCCTCTGATCTCTTATCTTTTGATCCCTTTCAGCTCAAAGGGGCTCTGATCGTCAGACGAGATTTGAGGCGCTTAAAGGGCAACCGAGGTGGAATTCTGAGACCGTCTCCACAGTACCCTCTTGTGGATACACTCCGACACTAGTCACAATATTCATAATTATAATAATGACAAAGGAAGAAGCAGTCTTTAGAATCATTACACAATTGAGGCAAAACATCTGACAGGCAGTGGCGAGCGCAAGGCTCCTACCGCTAAGGAAACCATAATAAGGTGGCTCAGAATATCCAGTCATAAAAAATAATTACATGCATTTTTTTTTTTCCTCCATAAATCCAGAAAGTGACTAGATGTAAAAGGCAGGGCATATTAGGTAGTAGTAATAGTGGCCCACCCTGTCCAAAGTAGCAATCCCCTATCTGTGCCGCCCATGCACACAGAGCACCAATGGGTATTGGCTAACACAAGCTAGGGGATTGGGGCAGGGGATGCTGCAGGTGTCTGATGTTCAAAGTGAGGATAGACGGTAAGGATAGAAGGTGACCATGGGAAGAGTGACGAGTGATCGGTTTGGCTTGGAGGGATGTAAAGGGGACAAGTGCATTTGAAGAGGCTGGTCTCTACATGGTACAAAAGAGACGGAGAGGGCAGCTATGCGTGTGCTTCTGCTATTCAGGCTATGAGTTGTAAATGCCTGCAGAGGGAAGAGCTTCGTGCTAAGTAAAAATGGGCATAGGTGTGTGTGTGTGTGTGTGTGTGTGTTGGTATGCAAGGAAGTACGCGTGTGAGAATTTAGAGTGCACTGTGTGGTGTCAACTCCACTGATACGTGTTGGAATGTGCAGAATGATCGGAGCAAGGTCAATCGCTGAGTGAGAGTTCAGCTTTGCAGCACTTAAGTGATCACAGACGTTACATTTGCCTGCATTCAAATCTACAGAGGAGTGTTGACCTCACCTATTGCCTTAGTTACCTATTTGTTCAGAAAGCTATGCATCTTACTATTTTGAGGTAAAAAAAAAATAAAAACTCAATAAGTAAATAAAAAAAATTGAAAAAGTGCCTCGTAAATACTAATACACAGAAATGAAAGATTATCTTCCTGTTTAAGTGCCCCTTTTCCATTGGTTGGTTAATAATGCTGGTTTAGGTGCATGGGGTGCAAGTATATTTGATAAAACTCAATGTAAATGGTCCCTCTATTGTTATCGTAAGCTTGCCTCTATAGGCTAAATCTCTAAAGGGACTGGCCAACCGGCACGGAGAGTGCGGCAGGACTTCTCTGCAGTATCTACGATATGCTACGCCTGCTCTTTCTGTCTCCGCTAACACAAAGACCAGAGGGCTAGCCTCACATGTTCTAACAAACTCTCACGTGCAGGACTGGTGGCACCTACATGCTAACGCTAAGTGCTAATGTACCATGCCTCAGACTCCTCAAGGCAGTTAAAAAAAAATAATAATAACAACATTATTATTAAAAAAACATTAAAAACATGAATGTACTTCATAACAACGATATAATGATACATGTAGGTGTGCGTGTCTCAGGAGGATCCCCATGCTAAGGGGCTTGGAACACTTGTAAAGAGGCATCATCCTGGTGGCAGTTCAAAAGGTTTTTTGTGATTCTTTTTTTCCCGCCTGTTTTCCTCCCGTCCGTATTGCATACTCACATACACAGGAGTGTGAAGGTAGCTTACATTACAATTACATAATAATACCCACGTTTAAAAATTCAACATAAAAAAAGAGCAACAGTCCTGGTAAAGTTAAAAAAATAATTAAAAAAAGACAATGATAATAATATTCATAACCATTTTGAGTGCATGAGGCTGTAGAGTCTGCCTGTGTTTTACAGGTGAGGGGCCTTATGTTGGTTGGATTTGGGTGAATGACTGGCAGGTCTGTGGAGTATGTCTGGTGGGCAGTCATTTGGAATAAGGGAATGGGGATGAGGTGGTGGTGGTGGGCTGTGTGCCCACTCAGGTAGAAATGAGGTGGGAGGGGTCGATGGTGGTGATGGTTGGTGTGGCTCAGGCGAAGTACATGGTACTCAGGGTGTCGTGGTGAATCTGAACAGCTTTAGCCAGCGCCTGAGGGTCCCGACCGTTGCTCTGACCAGACACATGGCTGCCCTCTCCACTGCAGAGAGATGACAGGGAGGGGAGATCAGCGACATTTCATATGTGATCATATATTTGTGATAGCGTAATAAATATGTTTTGAATATTTCAATGAATATGCGGCGTCACAAGCAATTTTCTTTCACAACCACACTAACCTGTCATGTTCTTTGTCCACCAGATGGTAGCGGGCACGGAAGGCCACAAGACGGGCGTAGTAGGCTGGCGCAGGGATGGAGACTGAGCGGGTGCAGCGCACGTACGTGTGGCACAACTGGTAAGTCAGAATCTGCAACTCATCAGCCGTGAAACGATTGTCATCCCATAAGACGTAGTAGTGAGACGGCCGGCTGGTACCCTGGAGACAGAGGGACGGCAATAAAAATGAGATGACACACAAAGATACGTCTGTGTAATAGTACCGGGGTTAGAGGCCGTCATCTATTCAGGGACTCTAAAAACACCGAAACATCTTTCCTCTGTCAATATTACCTGTATGCCCGCGTGGCTGCACAAGTAGAAGTCAAACTCAAAGGGATGAGTGATGCTGGTGTCCACTGTAGTCCCTGCAGGAATATTCCCACTCTTCCCAATCTATCACAAAAAAACCACACATGATCATTATTAAACATATCAAAACAATTAACTATGAAAAGAGAAGAATTATTAAAAATGTGTTACCCTTTCAGACTTGTCAGCACAGAAGAGGCGTGTGTGGTGGCGTTTCTGCACCACGATGTAGGTGATGCCCGGCTGATAGTCTTTTTCCAGCTTGATGCACGCATCTCTGATGGCCAGGAGCTCGTAGTGGAGAATCTGCACACCACAACATTCTTTATTAGCCCCGACTATGATATAATCTATTTTATAGAAAAATGCACCTTGCAAAAAACTAATTAGGTTACAAGGAATACGCCACTTTCACATATTTAGGACAATGCAATGGATTCTAGTATACGAGTCATCAGTTTCAAATACCGTGGTGTCATATTACCTGTGGCAACTGTCCCTCGGGAACTCCGTCTCTGTAGAAAATGATCCTGGTGGGCTTGAACCGGGTCGACTTGTAGAACTGAATTAACAGTTCCCGCACCATGTACGACAAATCTTCGATGATCTCCTGCCTGGGCCTCTGGACTCGCACTGTGGCACAGTATCTGCTGGGATGAGCATCCATACTGCCTACCACCTGGAAGAGACCGGAGGGAGGAAGTGACACAGTTGAACAGGGCACTTAGTGGGCTTAGTGATTTGGATTCCCGCTGGTGACACATACATTGGGTGCTTTCCATCAAATGTAGGACAGAGAAACAAAGACAATCATGTTAGTTAGACGACACCTCAATCTGCTTTCACCACTCACTTGTCCCAATGTGTGTATCTGTGCGTTAGCGTCTCCTAGAGGCCGCCACTGGGAAGTGTGGGAGGCTCTTCATCAGCCTTTTAGTGTTCTTCCCACTACACTACAATCATCATTTTTTTTTTTTTTTACCAGTTTTCTCCACAGTCAGGAGGAACAAGACAAGACCCTCTCTCTCCTCTCCGTGTGTGACTCCAGCGTTTGTCATAATTGCTAGGTAACAACCACAGCCAACCACAGCAGAGCAGGGGGG